AAAATAGTAATTAATTAGTAAATACTATCGGCATTTGAAGTCAAAATCGGGAGGGGAATGGAATTGCAAATCTCATTCATTAATTCTAAATTTTTTTGATGCACACCAATCCCATTTACACTTTAAAAAACAAGGAATTAACTCCCATTTTCGCAACTTTTATTCTCCACTCATAAGAAGTACATGTGTGATGGGAAAGAGCCAGTTTATATCCAACTCAACTAATTTTTTCTTAAGTATGCACATATATATATATATATATATATATATGCAATTAATTATACCCTTATGCACATAACCCTCACTAAAATATCTAATTTTCATTATTTAACTTTCATTATTGTTATTTTTTAATTATTAGCCTTCACTGACAAAAGTTTCTGAGTCCGACACCGTGTGTGTGCATTAGTCTTTTCTATTTATACCTCTCAAAGTAAAAAACTACACTCATCTTTTGTAGATTCATCGGTTTAAATTAAATTTTTTTTTTATTATTAGTATGACTGCTTTATTTAAGTTTTTATATTATTTTAATTTTTATTGGCATTGTAAGAGATATAATTTCATTTTATTAAAACGTCTTGAGACTTTTGCCTTACTACGAGGGGAAAATGCCTCAAATCTCGATTGGGATTTTTAGTTTATTTTTATATCAGAAAATTGTTGATCTTATTCTTAGAATGCATGAGTCTTGATTACTATATCCTTTTGACTAATATAGTTATTGACTAAAAAAGATATTAATTAAAAATAGTAAAAATTCAGAGTCATGCATTTTAAGAGATATTTATCTCATTTTCTCTTATTTTCATTTTTCTAGATTGAGCCTTAGCTTAAGAAAAATTTATGTATAGTATTTATCTCCACTCTAAGAATGTCACTAATGAATAAAAACTCGTTTTTTGGGTAGGCCATGTCTTGTTTGCAAAATATGGGCACAACAATAATCTCTCTTCTAGACCCATCAAATCCTTTTCAAAGCTTAAGGTGCCTTTTTAAAATTGAATGAAAGTGGATCAATTAACCCGTGCTTAAGGAAACAGTTGATACTTTCACCAAATATTGAACGTGACAAATGTCTAAGAAAAGAGAGAAACTAACTACCAAATGAGGGTATTATCAACTTTATTAGCACAATTTGATACTGACACTGCATGTAATTATGGTGCCACGACAGTCACTTTCTATGGTGACAAACCCGGTTATTGTTTGGTGAATATACAGTGCCACGACAGTCACTTTCTATGTTGCAAATAATTTAACTATGCTTGTAAGTGCACAAGTCGTATAAGTAATAAAATAGTCCGAAGACCGATATCGTCTCACGAGGATTGATATTAAGAATGTAAGCTAACTATTGTGAATATCATATCTTAACTTTATCTAAGCGATCAAATTTGAATGTGATAAACTCAAAAAAAAACTAAAATAAATGAAAACTAAATCAAAAGGAAAGATAACAGTAATGAATAACACGCATTAAAATTAAAATGGGAAATCAATATAATGAAAATGCTAGGGTCTTGACTTCACTCTATTGCGATTATGTTTCTCCGTAGTAATGTGCCTAACCTAACTCAACGTTCTCAAGAATCTAGAGTGATGTGTATCCTTATACCTTCTCTCGAGTGCTGCATAAAGAATGTGTAGGTGATATCAAGTCTATATCTCTATACAACTATTCACCACTGCCTTCATTAAGTTCCACTCTAGAAACAATTCCTGGAATTCTACTTCTCAATTTCACAACCTAAAATTGTTTCGGTTACCTATGCAATGTTTCCTCTCGACCTCACACCAACCTAAGTTGTTCTACCTGTTTCTTGATTGCTTGAACGTTCCCCTCTCGAGTATTAATCCTCACAATCTAAATTTGCCCAATTCAAAATCTCATAAAGCATAGCAATATGTAAATCATAGATTTGGCAGCAACAATTCAAAATAGAACACGAAAGAAACGAAGAGCTTTAATTAAATGCACATTAAAACATCGAAACAATAATCACAAATAGAGATTCATCTAAACCTTAACAATTAAGAAAATTAGCCACACATCATGTAGTTCACAGTCTCAAAATAATATTCAAAATCTAGAAAAATACAAGAAGAAAGAGAAGAAAGAACGCTTAAAATTCTTGAAGAACTGCTCCAATTTCAAATCCTCTCTGATTTAGTTTTTCTTCTTTTGCAAACCCTTTTTCTCCCCTTTTCTCAGTTTTTAGTCTCCCCTTTTATATCCCACGTCCATCACGCCTCCCAAGAAGCCAAGTCTAACTGTCCATAAAAATATGCGCCCACAACCTAGGGCAAAACGAGTGTTTTTAATAAAATTGGGAGGTGACATATTGCCTAGAAACAGGTGACATATCGCGGCTCTCGCTGTTATCTGTGCACCAGACTAGGGCAGGCGGCATATTGCCTCTAATCAGGCGACATATCGCCTGGAGGCAGCGACATATCTCCGCAAAGGAAGCGACATGTTGCAGCTCTCGCTGTTCCTTCGTACAAGTTTGCTCGATTTTGCTTCTTTTCGAGCCGCATCGCCATTTGAAGGCGCCGTATCGCCTCGTTCTCTGTCTTTTTGATCCAAAATGCCTCAAAACTCAGCAATTTCACCCATTCCTACACACTCAAGGGAAAATCATCAAATCCACATAACAACTTGAGAAAAAACACGCCGAAACTAGCTAAAGGAGTAACGAATGAGTGCATAAATTACGCACTCATCATGTGACAAACCCGGTTATTGTTTGGTGAATCTACAGTGCAATATATATTATATGGTCTACTGCATATTATAACGCTTTCCGATCATCTAAAATCCGCAGTATAATTATTCCAATTTATTCACGTTTTAGTTAGAGTCTATTTGGCTCTTAGTTTTGAATTTGTATGGTTTAAAACCTTTATTGTTTGAATTCAGAATTATAAACCTATAGTTGAAAATCTTTATAGTTTGAACTGAAAATTATAAACCTATACGATTTAAACTATAATATGATTTATAGTTTGAACATAAAATTATAAACCTATACGATTTAAACTATAATATGATCTCACGTTTGAAAGTGTAAAGTCTGAACAGAAAATAAAACATACCGTCAGAAAACTAGCGTGTTTGAATAGTGTGAGAAATATAAAGAAACTTGTACAAATGGTAAAGGAAAGAGGCCGACCCACGTTAAGTTCAACGAGTTCCACTATCTATATTCTAACGTATCCACCATGCACGGTCGGTTTTATATATATGCTGATCTTTCTCTTTTATTCTATCTTCTTTATTTTTTTTAATTAATTATTGGGGCAGGTTTAATTCGCAGGATATTATAATATTGCACGTTTATCATTAAAGAAGTCTATTATCGAAGAAGAGATCTCTTTGATAAAGTACTTTGTTTCTCTCTCGACTGAAGTACTTCAGCGTAAAAGAAGGAAAAATTTGCTTTTCATCCTTTACCTTATGATGACAGGTTGTTGTAATTGTAATATGACATACAAATGAATAAATAAATAAAACAGAGCAAGGTTGTTTATGATCTTCTAATTAATTTGTGTTAAATGTTTTACTAGGTTTCTACGTACAGAAAGTTTTGAATTAGTAGTTTTAATTATGTACATGATAGAACAAGTAATGGTGGAGGATTTCATATATAATCTTTGCCTCCGACTGAGATTTCGTTTCTTTTTTTAAAAAAATATTTGTGTGAATTTGTTGGTTTTGTATAACCTATTATTCATTGAATTCAATGAGTAAATAATGTAGTGTTTCGACTGGGAACACATTTAATGAGAACGTACGCCATCATTTAGGGTAATCAGTTTCTCTCAATACGATAATATTTGATCAAATAATGGAGTTTCACGATTGGTTTTACTATCTGAAAGATATATAAGAACTCACGAAAGGATTTATAATTTTTCTCTTTTCATTTAAAGTGCCACCACAACCCAAAAAAAAGAAAAAATGAAAAGAAAAGGAGACGAATTATCTCCATGGGGTGAAAATCACAATAAAGGGAATAAGTTCTAATTATAATAATATCTTTTTATATTGCCTTTTCTACTACATATGTAAAAGTATGAATTAAAAGATTACTTGAAATGTATCTTTGCCTACGAATTTTACTATATTGTTCGCAGAAGATAACTTGAAATGTATCTCTCCCTACTCACTGTATTGTCGGTGGCTTATTCCAGAATTCATAATTACTTCACTGCAATATTAGCATCGTCTTCACTTCTTTTCCTTCCACATTTATTTATATATACATATATATATATATATATATATATATATCTGCTATATAGTGCTAGCTAGGTTGTGGAACCTTTTCAACTACGCGCTCTATTTTAGAAATGTTGGATCCTACAATTATTATGACCTTCCTACCGATACCCTACTAACTGCATGCATGTATTTAAATGTTAGAATTAGTTAAAATAACGTTAAGAGTATACTTTTTTCTTGTAATTCTCATTTTTTTTATATCATGAAAACAAATAAAAACCAAGCAATTAGATCAATACAAAGATTTCGAAATGTATTTATATTAATACCCACAAATATAGCCAATCCCTTGCCTCCTATTAGTAGGAGGGAAAAAGAAGAAAATTACAGAAGTTGTAACATCTAATTATATGTAATTACAAGTTCATTAAAGAAAAACAAACTGCCAAAAACTTCCCACTTTACTTTGATATGATTATAAATAAGAAAGTTATTATTATTATTTTTTTGATTAAGTAGATTGGATCACGTATATATGTAAGATAAGGATTGGAAGGAAATTAAAAACTGATCAAAGTGGTGTATAGGGCATTTAAAATCACGGTACGAGACATAAAGAGATAACAACTCACCAACTTCATTATATTGATTAGACAAAAACCCATGACCCCATATGATCTCGATTCTCAACAGACTTCACAAATGACGTTTGCATTAGCTCAACTCCACGTTGAGAGACCAAGCCATTACCTTCCTCTTCTCCACATATAAAACGACACAATCACACAACAACTTGCTTCAGCGCACAAATTAAGAGGAGGAAAAAAAAAACTCAAACTGAAACACAAAATATGGCGCTCTCAATTAAAATATCACCCATATTATTAGTCCTATTACTCTCTCTTGTTTTTCTTTCATCATCAGCTTCGGCTTCAACTCTAGAGGACTTTATCGAATGCGTTTCACAAAATTCTGACGTCTCTGTCCCAATCTCCACAGCCTTTGTCACTCCAAACACTTCATCTTTCACCCCTCTCTTGCAATCCTCTGCTCAAAATCTCAGATATTTAGTCCCTTCAGCTCCAAAACCGGAATTCATCTTCACTCCATTGCATGACTCCCACGTCCAGGCCTCCGTCATCTGCTCCAAGAAGCTCGGAATCCATCTCCGAGTGCGAAGTGGAGGCCACGACTACGAGGGCCTCTCGTACGTCTCCCAAATCGAAACGCCCTTTATTGTTGTAGACCTCGGGCGTCTCCGAACGATCGACGCCAATATTGAGAACAACACAGCGTGGGTTCAGGCGGGAGCGACAATCGGAGAAGTTTACTACCGAATCTCTGAGAAGAGCAGAGTTCATGGCTTCCCAGCAGGGCTTTGCACGAGTTTAGGCGTCGGTGGGCACATAACTGGCGGAGCTTACGGCTCTCTGATGAGAAAATACGGCCTTGGTGTTGACAACGTTGTCGACGCGAAAATCGTCGACGTTAACGGGAGAATTCTCGACAGAGAAGCCATGGGGGAAGATCTGTTTTGGGCGATCCGAGGTGGCGGAGGAGCAAGTTTTGGGGTAATCCTTTGGTGGAAGATCAAACTCGTTCCAGTTCCGGAAACCGTGACGGTTTTCACCGTCGCGAAAACGTTGGAACAAGGCGCGACGAAGGTGCTCTACAAGTGGCAACAAGTAGTGGACAAGCTTGACGAAGATCTCTTCATTAGAGCCATTATTCAACCGGCGAGCAAAGGCAAGAACTCAACTGAGAGAACTATTGTCACGGCTTTCCAAGCCCTGTTTCTCGGAGACTCCACAAGACTTGTCCAAGTGATGGAAAATAGTTTTCCTGAACTGGGTTTAACCAAAAAAGACTGCCTAGAAATGAGTTGGATTCAGTCTGTTCTCTACATAGCCAGCTTTCCTAGCGGAACCCCGCCGGAAGTTCTTCTGAAAGGAAAATCCACTTTCAAGAACTACTTCAAAGCGAAATCGGATTTCGTCAAGGAGCCGATTCCAGAAACCGCGCTTGAAGGGCTTTGGAAGAGGTTTTTGGAAGAGGACTCTCCATTGACGCTTTGGACACCTTATGGTGGAATGATGAGCAAGATTTTGGAGTCGGAAACTCCATTCCCGCACCGGAACGGCACCGTTTTCATGATCCAGTGGCTGTCTTTGTGGCTTGATGGTGAAAATGACACCGCAAAGCACATGGATTGGGTTAGGACGCTTTACAATTACATGGCTCCGTATGTTTCAAAGTTTCCAAGAGAATCGTATGTGAATTATAGAGATCTTGATTTGGGGAAGAACAAAAATAACAAGAGTACGAGTTTTATTGAGGCTAGTGCCTGGGGAAATAAGTATTTTAAGGATAACTTTGACAGATTGGTGAGTGTGAAGAGCAAAGTTGATCCTGATAATTTCTTCAGGCATGAACAGAGCATTCCTCTGCTTCCGAGCTCAGCTAGATGATTTAGAATCAAACTTTGATCGGTTTAATTGAAGCTAATTTAGAGGAATATCTGTTATGTGGAGCTGATCGGATTTGCCATGTTAACTAGTAGAATAAGTGAAAGAGAAAACTGTCTTTTTGTGTTCTTCTTTCCAGTGTTGTAGAATAATTGATGTAATATGGTTTGTTCTCTAATTATTAAAAAAAAAAAAAGTTGTTTCTAATTATTAAAGAAAAATAGTTTGTTGTCTATTATATATTTTTATGTAAAAAAAGATGTTATTTCTGTATCTCTTTTTTTTTTTTTTCTGACAAGGGCGCGGAGAGTTTTGCTATCTTGAGTTGGTGGATTTTGCAGCATTTCAACAAATGAGATTAGAGAAATGTGGTCGCATTCAATGTTAGTGTTAAAATCACACAGCGTATAAATTTTGTCCTAATTTTTTATAAAAAAAAAAAATGTTGCTGTTGGTTATACGTAATTAGATAAGTTGGGGTAATTCTCTTCGGTAGGACCAAAAATTGGGATAATACTTGTCGAAGTAATGGCTTTTGGCTGTATGAAATGTTTGTAACTCACAAGAGAACTAATGCTACAACATTTTTTATAACAATCAACGTTAAAGATAAACTGTCATTTTATGCTTTTTTGTATTAAAATGAAAACAAAAACGTTTTCCATCTGAGACAGAAATTATTTTTAAAAATGCGTTTAATAGTTTTATCAAGAGATTGTTTTCAGTATAAAAAAATTCATTAATGTCTCTCTCTGCTCGAGAGAGGAGAAAATAAAAATAAAAAATGAAAAATGACTAAAAATCGTTTTTCATTTCTCTCATATTTTACACTAAACTAAAAAATCGTTTTCATTTCTTTTTTTTATCTTTAATTGTGTCAAATGTCATTTTAAAATCGTTTTCATTTTTTTTCTTTGAAAAATGTGAAAAATAAAAATAAGAATAATTCCGAACACAGCTTTACTATTCATTGTCTTTGTCTTTTTTTTTCTCTTTAAAGAAGAGTATCTATATCTATAATCTATAACATATATAAAAAGCTCAATCCATTTACTATTCATTTTCTCACAATTCATTCAAACTATTAATTAATTTATTTTGTCTTTTTGTGCCCTCTTTCCCCCTCTCTCTCTCTTAAAAATAATTTAATGCAAATTTATGAATAGTCCAAATATCAAGAACAAAAATAGTAAATTTCACCGAACATAGAGGTGTAAATATGGGCCGGGCCAAACGAGCTGGAACGTTACTCGCGTATTTGCTCCGAAGATCCAAGTCGGGTAGCCTTAGGTTTTTGGCTCATGGCCCGACCCATATAGCATTTTTTTTTTTTTTTTTTTTTATTTCTATTTTTAAGAAAGGGGACCACCTTCTGCCAAGATGGGTTACAATTATTCTTCCGTTGGTGGCCCAACCCATATAGCCTCCTGTGCATGCATCATGATTCATGAGCCGGTCCAGCACCTGTACATACACACCTAACTCAGCCTAACACCAACATAAAAATGTTAGAGAGCATTTAAACAAGAAAATATGCGTGTAGGTTGAATACGTAATAATTCTTGAAGTATAGTAGTATACATATATAAACAAGTTTTTAATAGTTACATTTCTATCGATAGTTATTATCAAATATAAAAATTCGATGATATGGCGTGATAAGAATTCAATCTCATTAATTGTTGTAAATTTTTTTAGCTAATTATGTAATTTATTATAACCATCGGATTAATATCTTACAGTTAAAATAATAATACCCAGTAATAAATAAATATTAAAGTAACCATTAAAATTACACCCGTATATATATATATATATATATAATTTTGGAGATCATTTCCTTGAAACAAAATTTAAACTTTTGATCAGGTTGCAAAAGTCGATTCTCCAGGGGTTAAAGGTGGCAACTAAAAGACCGGTTTATTGCCAAAAACTCTGAATGAATAAATTGTTGATAGAATTCCAAAATAAACTTAACATAAAGTGTCCTGATTATAGAAGCCAAAATCTAAGCTCAAAGCAAATATGATTTGAAAGTGAATCTAATTCTTTTTTTTTTTTTTTGAGGAAAAAACGAATCTAATTCTTAATTTTAAAACAAATTTAGTTATTCCTCTTTTCAAAAAGAAAAACAAATTTAATTAAGTTAAGAAAATCCTAAATCAAAAATTATAATGGTCCTAATTTAGTTGACAAAACTATAATCTTAATAATATGGTTTTAAAAAAAAATGGGAACGAAAAATGGATGAAAAAATGGTTCGGAAGGCCGAATCGTGTAAATTGGAGTTTTGACTTATTTAAGTGGATTGAGTCAAAATTTGTTGACCAAAAGTCGGCTAAAACGTCACCTTCGAAAAATTAGTCAAGAATGGTCAAAGTTGACTAAGTTGATCAACTATCTGAAAAACGCTAGATAAAACGCACACCGGACAGGAAATTAAGCTGAATCAAAATAGGATAATTATTAAGTGATCAATAGTTGAGATTAAAAGTAACAAAAGAATGGAAGGATGAGATTTTGACAAATGGAAAGTGAGGTGAAGAAGGATGGCCGGCCAAATGCTTAAAGGCTCCAATATATTTTAGCTTATCTCATTACATCAGAACGTAAATTTCTCTTTCTGAACAAAATAATCATGAATTTCACGGTTCAGCTGTCCAAAGCCTCTTTATAGTCTATACGCTGGACAAAGGCCAAGAATGACTTGAAGGATTTGTGCTTGATCTCAAGGCTACTTCAGGATCAGCATGGCTCAGTGAATTATGTGAGAAATTGGAAAAGTTTTCATGATTAATGAGCCATGGTAAGAATTTTCTCAATCTAATAAGAGGGTTTAGAGTTTTGAAACTTCATAGGAATGATCAAAAATCAACAGAACATGTTTTCATCGAAATTGTTATGCTGGTCGCTGGCGTCAGACATTGGAGTACCAACTAGATTACTACTAGTAATTTGCCAGATTATGATGAAGGAATCAACAATTATTGGCCCGGTCCTACCCGTCGCTGGAGTAATCTGGCAGATTACCTCTGATAAATACCATATTATAATGCCTTTTTAGTCATATCATAGGTCATCTCTGAGGATATTCACGAGCATCGGCCACCTAATAAGAAAAGAAAAGAAAAGAAAAAACTGACCACCGTGCTACATAGTTTTAATCACAACCAAAATAAATCATCGGATCACTAATAAGAGTTTTTCCAACCCAGTTTTCACTACGTTGTGTCAGCAGCTTACATCAATGTCATATACAAGATCAACAATCACACAAAAGATATATGTAATCCATACTGGTTGATTTTCTACCATATAACCTCCACAAAAAAAAAAAAAAGACAAATTATAATAACAAATTATATCTAACATAAATAAAAAATGATATAATAACATAAAAATAAAATGTAATTAAAAAAGATTTAACCTAACACAAAAACACACACCATAAATTACCAAGCATACAAATTTTTGGTTGTCTGCTCGGCCAAACCGTCGGTCACTGTTCTGACGCGGGTACGTACGGTGAAAACCAACATTCCAAAGACAAGGGCAATCTCCACCCTTGGGTAGGCCGAGTAATAAAATTTGTGGATGGATGACTCTTGTCCACAGACGTGTCACTGCAAAATGCTAATTATTGAGTTCTGGTAGGAGATTATTTTTAGACTATTTTAAAAAGCATAAAGGATAAAATGTGGCATTTTGAAGATACACATAAATATTCTAGACATTTCATAATAAGAAGGATAAAAGTAATGATTTAAGTAAATATATAGGGTGTTTTAGGTATTTCCCGATGACAAAGTGTGGGGTACCATAAGTTCCGGTGCATTTTAGTGTATTGTATTTGTATATTTCTTTGAGGGATCAGAAAAATGAAACTATTGATAGTTTTTTTTTTAATTATTAGATATGTATTAGAAACTGTTAATTTTATGTACTTTTTAATTTTATTTTATTTTAAATAGATATAATGATCAAAAATTGATTCTAATTAAATATAATGATCAAAAAATTGATTACGGGTCGTCTCTATGTTTATTGGTTTCTTTAAAAATAGAGCTACTTTTAAAGAAAACACTCAGGTCTCGTTTATTTTACCGATTCGAGTTTAAAATTCAAATTTTGTTACAGTAAAAAAATTCTCATAAATAATCACATCTGATTTTTTTATTACAATAAAGAATTCTCACATAAAATTACATTTAAATTCGAATTAAAAACTCAAATCAACGAATTAAACATGCCCTCATTATCCTTCTGCGTTAGCGAGTGTGTTTTGGATGAAGTTAATCCTTCAAATATAGGCGTGTGCAGAGTGTATCTACAATTTTTTTTTTTGGTAGTTTGAGTTTCAGTATATCAAACCGACAACAAAGTAACCATACGTGGTTTTACCCCTTCAAGTATTGACCACATGTTTCACACGCATGTTAATAGAATTTGATATGTAGTCCCACGTGTTATCCATCATTTTCCTGCACGATTTGTGCAGATCTCTCCTTGATTTTATAAGACATATCTTGGAGATATGTTCCCTTGTTTTTCATATTTTATGCATATATAAATTTACATGTATTTGATGAAAAGCCAACTGAAAAAAAAAAAAGGAATAAAAAGTCAAATATAGATCACTACCATCATTTCAGAAAGAAACTCATCTTCTTCTAACATACCCAACTACCCCCACAATTAGAAAGAAAAAAATGAACTCAAAAATCCTTCTTTTGTGTTCCATTTCAACTTTCATTCTCCAAATCCCAATATCATCATCATCATCATCTGGTTTCTTAATTCATGACAACTTCATTCAATGTTTTTCTCTAAACTCACCACCCCAAATTCCCATCTCCAAAATCCTCCACTCTCCCACCAATTCTTCCTACGCATTCCTCCTCAACTCCTCAATCAAAAACCTCAGATTCTCATCCCCGACAACCCCAAAACCACTCTTCATTGTAACACCATTAGTCACTTCCCATGTCCAAGCCACCATCCTTTGTTGCAAACAAAATGGCCTCCAATTGAGAACACAAAGTGGAGGCCATGACTATGAAGGCCTTTCTTACACTTCAAGTAATTTTTCCCCATTTGTCATCCTTGATCTCCTCAACCTCCGATCCATTAGCATCGACATAGAAGACAACACGGCTTGGGTCGAAACCGGAGCGAGTTTAGGCGAATTGTATTACCGAATAGCGGAGAAAAGTCCTGTCCATGGATTCCCTGCCGGGCTTTGCCCAACAGTTGGTGTTGGTGGACACTTTAGTGGGGGTGGATTTGGGACCATGTTGAGGAAATATGGATTGGCGGCAGATAACATTGTTGATGCTCATGTAGTTGACGCCAAAGGAAGAGTTCTTGATAGAGAATCAATGGGAGAAGATCTATTTTGGGCGATCCGAGGAGGCGGCGGATCGAGCTTTTGTGTCGTTCTTTCATGGAAGATCAAGCTCGTTTATGTCCCACCAATTGTCACTGTTTTCAACCTTGAGAAAAGGTTAGATAAACTTGCTACTAAGCTTGTCCGTAAGTGGCAATATGTTGGTCCAAAGTTTGATGAAAATTTGTTTGTGAGAGTTGTGGTAGAAGAAATCAGGGATGATGTAAACAAAGTACTAGGAAAAACGACACAACTCAAAGTGAGGTTTAATTCCCTGTTTCTCGGGAGAGCTGATGAGGTTGTCAGAATAATGGGGGAGAGATTTCCTGAATTGGGTTTGAAGAAAAGTGATTGCTCTGAAATGAGTTGGATTGGGTCCGTAATGTACTTTTCTGGGTACCCAGATGCATACACAAAAGAAGCGTTGATTGAAAGAGTACCACAGCCGAAGAGATTCTTCAAGGCTAAATCGGACTACGTCCGGGAACCGATGTCGGAATCAGTCTTGGAAGAGCTTTGGCAATGGTGTTTGGAAGAGGAGAGACCCGTCTTGATCATGGATCCATATGGTGGGAAAATGGATGAGGTATCAGAATATGAAATTCCATTTCCACATAGAAAAGGCAATTTGTACAATATACAATACTTTGTGCAGTGGCGAGATGGGGAAATTATTGAGTCAACGAGGAGACACATGGATTGGATAAGGAGGATTTATGAGCATATGACTCCTTATGTGTCTACAAGACCAAGAGGTTCGTACCTAAACTATAGGGACTTGGATTTGGGCATGAATGACTTTAATGGAACCACCTACTCCAAAGCCAAAAGATGGGGTCTCAAGTATTTTAAAGGAAACTTTGAAAGGTTGGCGATTGTGAAGAGTGAAGTTGACCCACTTAATTTCTTTCAAGACGAGCAGAGTGTCCCTCCACTGTTTTCGACTCAAGGGAGGACAGAAATAGAGTAAAACAAATGGAGGTGAGAAATGATAACTATCATTTTTTTTTTTCACTTTTTTTTTTTGCATTTACTATCGATACGTGAATTCTATTAACATAATATATTATTATTTAAATAAAAAATGAGACAATAAAATTCATATGTCTAATAATGAATGCAGAAAGCGCTTAATTGTACATGTTTTGAAATTTTGTGATTTTATGTATTGAGTGTTATTTTTCTTTCTAGGTGCCTATGCCTAGAGATCTAAGAGCAGGATCCCTCATATTGGAATTCATTGTTTGTTGAATAATTGAACATTATGTAACTATGCAAGTGCTCTACATATTTTTTATGCTTGTTTTGTAATTTTGTGATTGTTTATTATCAAGACTTATTGTTCTTTCTACTCTCTTTAGGTGCCTAAAATAAAAGCACGGTCCCTACTATTGGAATTAATTGATTGTTGCACCGTGGACCACTAGTGGGAGCCAACTACTTCCTTTCAATATGATGGTGCTAAATTTGTTGTTTTTGACACCAATGCTCCTAGATTTTTCTTTTATTTTTTATTTTTTTTTTTACATGCCGCTTCTGATGGAATGGGCTTTTAGTTGTCGCCACTATCTATTTTATATTTCATAACTAACCCTCATTTTAATCTATTTCAGTAAGTAAACCATTGGTCTATTTTTTAGTAAATCAGCAGTTTCAAAAGAAAAAAAAAAAAAAAGAAGTTTCTCCACAGAAACGCATAATATAATTATAATATACCATTGGTCTACTATCGAGTATACAAATGATTTAAAAGATAAAAAAGATAAAAGAAAAATGTTTCTCCACACAAACACAAAATCAAAGTAAAGCAATGGTCAACTTTTTATTTTTTTATTTTTAACACAAGCAATGGTCAACTTTTTGGTGAATGTAGTGGTGGTATAAAGGAGGGAAACAAAAAAAAAATTACCCCACAAAAATATAGAATTACACTATTGGTTTACTTTCAGCAAAGAAGTGGTATAATTAGAAGAAAAAAAATATATTCTTCATATACATAGAATTAAAGTAAACAATTGGGACAATTTTGAGTAAGCCATTGATTTAAGAGAGAGAGAGAGATAGAATTCTCCACATGAAAATAAAAATTAAAGTAAACCATTGATCTACTTTTGAGTAAATTAGTGGTTTAAAGAAGGAAAAGAAATTTCTCCACATAAAAGTAAAAGTAAACCATTGATCTACTTGAAGGGGGAGATCTATGGAGGTGTGTAGCAAAGGGAGTGCGATGCGTTTCTATGGTTTCTTGTGCAGGCAGATCTTGTCGCCGTTGTCACCGTGTTGCCAAATCTTGCAACAGCAATAGCGACATCGCGCGGTTGGGAAGGTATTGGATTTGATTGCGGAAAATTTATAAACACAACGGAACGCATTTCAAATATTTGTGCAAAAACATTTTGCATCTCATGTTACCGTATATTGTAATTTCATGAGAATTACTCAACTAAATGATTTAGCAAATAATACTGATAGATCAAGAGTTCCGGCCACCTACTCCAAAGCCAAAATATGGGTCTTAATTTATAACCATGCAAGTGCTCTATTATTTATGCTTGTTTTGTGATTTTGTAATTTTTCTTCTCTCTTTATTAGAAGCCTAATGACCTAATAGCGAATGGTCTCTCCCATTAGAATTGATTGGTTGCTAAATATTAGATTTTTGGCAGTGTACCATGGACCACTCATGGGAATTTAACTATTTCATTTAAATATCATGATGCTAAATTCGCTATTCTTGACATCAATGCTTGTTGACGGTGATTTCTCATCAACAAAAAACCGGCCGGGTTACCTCTTAGTTTCCCTTTGGATTACCGGCCTATGTGTTGAATATGTGTGAAAATTTATTGTTCGGGGTGTATGGTGTGTATAATTTGAGATGCCCACAAATAAAGAAGACAAGAAATTTTATACTGGTTCACTCTGAAAAATTGGAGCTACATCCACTGTGGTTGTATATTTCTTTTTTAGGGGATTACAATTTACATCGATTGTTATCTCTCACTCTCTTTTTTCTCTTCTTCGATCTGAACCCCCTCCTCGTAGGGGGTCTCTCTTTTTTTATACTGGGCTTCCTTCACTGGGTGGGTTTTCCTCGTAGGCAAAAGCACTCAAGTGCTCTCCCTTTTTTAGGCCCAGACGTAGCCCACTAATCAGCACTGTTCACTCAGCCAATTAGTCTTCTATTACGGCTCTGTGCGTCCCTGTAACACTCTCATGTCCCCTGTGGGGCGGTTTAAGAGCTTGCAATTAAGGCCTGCTGACGTCCCCCACTTTTGTACGCAACTTGCCACGTCCTCCAGAGAACGTTCCCCTCGTCGCCAGCGACGCTTAGCCCAATCGTCCTTCTTGGTGGTCGATTATGCGGTCGAGAGATTTTTGTGCCTTAAGCTCGACGGCACGATCTGTTGACGCCAGAAGGAATCGTCGCCCTAAGTTGGACTTCGTGCTTGGGCTTTAGAGCTGTAAACGTCGAGGGTTGTTGCTTGGCGGGGAGTAGTTAAGGCCACGTGTCGCATTATCGTTCGTCCAGGTGTCCGTCATATTTTTTCACACAACAATGCTCTTGAAAGTTTTTTTCCCTCTAATTTTACTTAAACATTAACTAATTTTTCATAAAAGTTAAATGTATAAGAAAATGAACATTTCAAGTCTAAAAAATGAAGAGAAATTAGACGAGGTGGCCAATTTTAATGACCACTTCTAAAATATATCACTTGAAAAAATAGTCGATGACTAGTCAATCAGATAGAGCCAATCAATAAGTGGCCACCAAATTAATTAGAGATTTACTGTTAAATCATATAATTCATGGTTGCCCAAGACATCTCGTAACTTGAGATCCCATAGATATAGATCCCGTGGCAGTAACCGTACAATTAATCAGCCACTTCTAAAATTGGCTCTTGATTTTATTACTTCTTATCTCCTTTTTTGGTTGAATAACATAAGTTTTATAGTTACAAGGTTGACATTACCCTTAATTTAATTTGTTTCAGTAATTAAATCTTTAGTTTATTTTTGTTGAGAAAAGTGTATGTGTGTGTTGTTTTATATGGAAAGTGGATGAGAATGTGAAGTGATTTATATACATAAAAGGACCCAAGACCTAATAGGTTAACCTTTGGGTCAAGTTGGGCTCCTAAAGTGTGTTGGGTCAGTTTCGCATGTGGTGTCTCCCCAACAAGCGGTATCAGAGCCGATGGTTCGTATAGATCAAGCGATCACACTCGGTTACAGTTTCCACGTTGCCTCTTGTAGAGAGTTGGTGTTCCCGCAGGTGCGCGGATGGTGGAGCATTTGGTGGACTCGCATGGTTTCAGCTCTCTTTCCCATGCTTGAGTTGGCTCCCGTTTGGAGTGTGATGCTTGAATGTGCCAGCTACTTGAAACTTTAATTCGAGGAGACACATGAGGAGGAGATTGTTGAGAAAAGTGCATGTGTGTTGTCTCACATGAAAAGTGAATGAGAATGTGAAATGATTTATATACATAGAATGACCAAAGACTTAATATGTTAACTTTTTGAGTCAAATTAGACTCTTAAAGTGTGTTGAGTCAGTTTCACATGTGGTGTCTCCCCAATAACTTTTGGGTAAGCTAATGGAATAAAGAAGACAAATAAAGTGAAGAATTTTCTCCACACAACCACATAACTATAATAAACCAATAATTTTCACTTTTTTAGAAAAAAAATTAAACTGCTTATTTTTAAGCTCTAAATAAAATAAAACAATAAATAACAAGTAACGGGTAATTTCACGTTTTATAGTTTTGTTAATGTAAGGGGTATTGAGGCTATCCCGTTATTTGTAGTCTCTGCGATTTCGATTGACTTAGCCCATTAATATTTGGCTACATTTTCCTTAAAAAAAACAGAGAGAGAAAACAATAAATAATAAATAAAAAGTGCAAAAAATGAAGAATATTGGAAAGAAAAAAAAAATGGTCGACACTAACTAGCACATTTTTAATGTATAGTTAGATATGGACATTTCAAATGTGACTAAAATATAAGGTAATATAAGAACATATTCTGACCTAGAAGTGGGAGCGGCGCGATCTGAGGTGAGGGAGATCGAGTACTTTTTTTTTTTTTTTTGCTAAATAGGGAGATCGATTACTTATATTTACTTTCATTAAAAAAAGAAAAAAAAATTGTCAATATTTACGTGCCAATTCTTATCCACATTGGATATCATGCATAAATTGCTGCCGTTTACCAAGATTGGCCAATATTGGCTTGTCAAGTGGCACAATAATAAAGTTATAACTCGGCATGTAACACCATGTCATGTGTACAAATGCCGACCGAAGAACCCATTTGACCGACGGATCAACAAATGCCGATACATGAAATTATAGCCCAGTTTCCGGAATTGCCCAGAAAACTAGAGAGACTGTATTATATTTATATTTGCCGGCTTGTATCCGCTTCACTTCCGAGATATTTGTTTCTTATATTCATCATTAATTTTGAATAATGATTTATGATTTTTTATAGTATTTTTTTCTCACAAAAAACACACGTAAAATAAAAATAATTCTAAATTATAATTTTAAATCCATAAATTCCGAGAGTCTCCCAAGAGTGTTCCAGAAGTGTCCCAGAAGTGTCCCAGAGGTGTCCCAAGAATGCCCCGGGGTGTCCCAAAAGTACCCTAGGGGTGCCCGGGGGACGTCCACTTACATACAGTCATATTCATTCTCATCCATACCATGAATTTTGAACACTGTATTTAGCAGATAATTGAACTTGACAAATTCCTAACGAATATTTCTAGCTCCCAACAAGAAAGAACACTTTCAAGGATAAAAAAAAAAAAAAAAAAAAAAAAAAAAAAAAAAAAATTTAAAAGAAAAAAAAAAAAAAAAAAAAAAAAAAAAAAAGAGCAAATTGCCTATAGTTGCCGATTGAAATAGAAAGGACAGAAAATGGTTGTTTTGATATTTCACGTATAGATCACATTTATCCTTCTAGTCCTGCCCATGGGAATTATCGCTCCCATATTTGTTTGTATCGACTATCAAGACGTGGTGGCGGCATCTTGCATACGGCAAATGGCGATCGCTCTATACTCTATAGTCACCAGAGATTAACGTTTTATGTTAACATTAGACTATCTTTTTAATTTCTTTTAAATAAACATTATACTATCTTCAATTCAAATACCAGCGGAAATGTTATATCTCACATTAAAAAAATATAAAACAAAAATGATGTTTGATATATTATTTGTTTTTTTTTTTTTTACCATAATGTAGAGGTGTAAGTTTAGGCCATCTAGACTGGCTCAGTCTGATTTTGAGCCCAAAAAATTTAAGGCTGAGGATGGGTCCGGAATTTTATAAGGTATTTTTTAAAAAATCTTTAAAAATATGATGTTTGGGTCTGGATTGGGCTGGCCTTAAAAAAGAGAAGGTCGGCTCAGTCCGGCTCTAAACCCAAAAAATTTAATGTCAGTCCAGACCAACAGTGGCAGGTCTCAAACTGGCGCGACTTACAACTCTATCCTAATGTAATATTTATTTCTTTGGCATAGTTATAAAATTTGAAATTTATAAAAGTATGTTTTTAATTTTTATATAATTTTAAAGCAACATCATTACAAATGAAAAAAATGATTATATTGACAATAGCGATCAATTGTCAAAATTTTATATGCGCCATATACTTAGTGCCATAAATGTTAAATTTAGCATAAAATATAATTGCATGATATAATAATTTTTCCATTCAAATGTTAAATTTTAACATTAGCATACTAATTTGACACTGTTTTAGAGATATCAGTCTTCTAAAATAATGAAGTCGTGTGTTTGACATACATAAATCTCTAAAGATAGACAAGAAAAGTATAGATAATCCACTTTATTACCAATAAATTCTGAAAGCGGCTCTCAATTGAAATGTGAGAACACCACTAATCTCAAAGAAAAAAGTGACAAATCAGTTCAAACTATGTACACTCAAAGTTACTCTCTAAGTCCAACTTCTCCTTATGAATCAGCCACCAAAAATGAGCTTTCAATCACTGTTTTCTTTGCTTATTTTCATTTGAATATCATGGGCAAGTAGTCCCCAGTCCTGTCCATGAAAATTTCATGCAGTGCATGTCAACCCAGTTCATGATGTCCCACACCCACAACTGCCAAATCATCTACAGCTTAACCTCTCCTTTGTACCCACTTCTCTTACAATCAACCCAACAAAACCCCAGATGGTCAAGCTAAAACCCCTTTTCATCATCACACCTTTCCACCATTCCCAAGTTCAAGCATCCATAATCTGCAGCAAAAGCCATGGTTTACAAGTCAGAGTTAGAAGTGGAGGACATGATTATGAATTAGTCCTATCATATATCAGCAAAACCCCATTCATCATAATAGATCTCAGCAATCTTAATTCTAATGGAACAATTCATCATAATAGATAATAGATAATAGCAATCTTAATTCATCATAATGGATAATGTCTTGGATGCTTATGTAATGGATTCTAATGGAACAATTCTTGAGAGAGAAACAATGGGTGAGGACTTGTTTTGGGCCATTAGAGGAGGTGGGGGAGGGAATTTTGGGATTGTTATTTCATGGGAGATGAAACCAGTTAGTGTGCCACAAATTGTGACAGTTTTTACAGTTTCAAAAACCACAAGGTGCTAGTGGGCTTGTCCACAAGTGGCAGTACATTGCTGATCAGTTACATGAATATCTCTTTATTAGAATCATAATACAAAATGTTAGGGAATCAGAAGACTGTCCAAGCTTCTTTCAACTCACTATCTCTAGGAGGGAAAATCCAGTTGATGAATGAGAGATTCCCTGAATTGGGCTTGCAGGCCCAAGATTGCATTGAGATAAGCTAGATTCAATCTGTGATGTATTTTGCTCCTTAATCTTAACAAATACTTCTTTAAAAATGCACAATTTTTCATAAAATGCATAAGATTTTTATTTTTTACTTTTAATTCATAATTTTTTTAGTCAAATAATTACACTAATAAAAGAGTATTTATTAAGAGTAAAGTGGTAAAGGTCCGAGACTCATGATCAACCTGTAGAGGTAATAAAAATTATACTACTTGGCATGTTCATAAGTGGAATTGACATATAAGTATTTTTTTTATAAAATTAAATGTAGAAAACCCTTAAGTAATTAACAAAATAATTTTCACGTCATATGCTACAAAATTACGTAATAATTATTTTATGAAATTTTTTAAGAATTGACGCTTAGAAATTAATGTGAAGTCAATATTACATGTATTGCTCTTTCTGCTTTTAATTTGTTTAAATTGATCGAGTATGATAAAAGAGCAGTTATAATTAAGAGGATAATAATAAAAAGGTGACATTATAAAATGACAGTTTTGTGTTTTTTTTTTTATAACAACAACATTATTTTTTATGTCACACAGCTATTGCTAGATAGAAAAACTCTCTACAAAAGCAAGTTCAAGGGCAAATCGGATTTTGTGGGGAGCCCTATACCAGCAGTTGGCTTGAAGGGGATTTGGGCCAAGTTTTCACAAGAGGACTTGGTGTTTATGATAGGGAGAAATAGAAAAATAGGCCAACACTTGAGATGAATTAAAATTAATAGGTCAATAGTTTATATAAGTTAATAAATAGGCCAAATTACTGTTTTCGTCCATAACTTGTCTGGTTATGAACCATAACTTGACAAGTTATTCACGATTTTTGTCCATAACTTCTCCGCCTATGAACCATAACTTGACAAGTTTGTCCATAACTTATCTGGTTATGAACCATAACTTGACAAGTTATGACCTATTAATTTCTATAACTAAAAATTGACCTATATACTTTCTTAAGATTTTCATATTGGCTTATTTTCTTCTTTTTTTTTTTACCCTTTTGGCGAGAAAATGAGTCAATTTCAGAATCCGAAATTCCTTTTCCTCATAGAAAAGGGAATTTGTACAACATACAGTACCTAGTGAAGTGGGACATTGTTCAACTGTTACACACAAAATTATACAAATCATCTAAAAAGACAAAAGACAAAACACTGCATACACAAGTAGCATGATAAATCTAAAGCTGAATGGATTTTTTCCTCGATTCTACACACATACAACTCCAGTAGCATGAGATGTACAAGTTGAAGTTTTCATGGACAAATAGACGTATTACTCGCATTGGCAATTTGCTAATAGTAATCAAATATACGCATCTATTCATTTATATCTCTTGATCTGAGCAACGAGGGATCTATTCATTTTTCTTGAACATCCTCGCATCGGAATTAAAATGAACCTGGAAAAGAAGTACCAATGTAAAAGGCCATACCGCCAAGTATTCGATTTACTACTCAGTTGTTGAGCCAGTCACCTGAGCTATCCAAGCAGGGTTAAATTCAAAAATGGGACCAAAATTTCTTAATTATGGAGAGGGATTCTCTGCCGTACTGTGCCTTTCTCGGTCAAGTAACTCTGACTTCGGTCAAAATTTCTTAAAAGTTTTGAGTCCAGAGATGGTTTAGAGAATTTGACCAACAAAAACTGAATATGTTTTACCCATGCGATGTTGCTTGGGTATGCGTCTTGGTGATTCCTCATCTGATTCCCTAAACACAAGATTTTCTGGGTTTTTTACTTTGGAAGGTTGTTTTTTTTTGTTTTTTTTTTTTAAATTTTATTATCAAAGGCCTCTTTGCCAGTGGCAGCTGGCCATTCATCGGTTTTTTAATTTTATTATCAAAGGCCTCTTTGCCAGTGGCAGCTGGCCATTCATCGGTTTTTTAATTTTATTATCAAAGGCCTCTTTGCCAGTGGTAGCTGGCTATTCATCGGAATTCAGGCAAAGAACAGAACCACAACAATGATCGAGTTCTGTAACCAACTTTCATGAACTGTTTCAATCATTGTAAATTAGCATACAGATGCAGAACTGTAGTAATAATCTATATATTGATAGTAGTACCAGCAGCTTTTTCACGGACTGTTTCACTGATATTATCATATTTCGCCATCAACTTAAATCGGGAAAGAAAATGAGCCAGCACTTTATGCAACCTCTGAAATTAGAGTAACATTTACAAGTCCCTCGAGCAATGGGCAATGTAACAAAACAAAAAAAAAAAAAAAATCCCCATAGCTGTCTAGACAATCCGCGAGCTCTGCGATATCTAGGAGCTACCGAAAGGTGAAAATGGTACCAAAATTTCCTAACATTAACTCAAATAATCAGCATGGGGCACCTTAAACTTAAAGAAAAGCGCCAGTTTTAGCACATTCAGTTTTACAACATCATGAAAGCATCTCGCTTCTTATTTACACCGCCAGTTTGTAAAACGTTGAAGGACAAGCCCTTTTGCTTCTTGTTCAGTGAAGAAAACCATTTCCTTAACAAATCAGCTGCAACAGATTCACTTACAATGGCCGGAAGCTTTTCACTGGTCTGGATTATTGTCTCAAAATCAACTGAGAGAAGGCCTAGCAATGCAGTAACAATTGCAAGTTGAATAGGTAGGCCTGCTTTCTTGGTAATTGAGAGACGAAAAAATGAAGACAAATCACATCTTAGCTGTTCAACTTGTCTATCTTCATATCCAAAAGCCTCAACTCCAAGCCTACATTTGAACACAATTTTTAGTAGACAAATAAGAAAGAAAATAAAAGAATATTGCATCTATTATCACATTTTAGGAAAAAGTATACACTTCAGGGACGTGAAGACAAATAAGTGCAAAACATAGATGTGGCTTGCACGTCATACATGTTGCATTTCAAACGCTATGCCTCAAAACAAGACTATTTTATCAACGCTATTTAGTAATTAATTGTTAGGTAAACCAGCTTTCTTCGCAATTATTGCCAAGAAGAAGAAATGCAGATAAATCATACCCCATGTCCATTACTGCTACGCATGAACCTTCATGCCTGATGTTATTCAGTCGTATCAAGGCATGAATGATACAACAGTAATAAAGGTAAAAGACCAAATGTCCTCTCCTTCTAAGTCCAAACTCCAAAGTGCGGGTTTAATAAGGAAAAAAAGACGAGAACTTTTATTTGCAGGGAGAATATTCAAGACAACAACAAACTATTGGGAGTTAAATATGATGTAGCAACAATAAGAAAAGGCATGAGTGGGCGAATAATAAAGAGAAAAACAGTAACTAGCAACTAGCATGCAGCAAAGCCAAACATACCTCCCAAGTTGACCGAGAAGAATAACAATTCCCGCAATTGAGTTCTCAAAGACACATGATTCCAACAATTTTAACAGCTGCGGAACAATTTTGACACAAGTCCACTCCCAGCCCTACATTATAAGAGGAAAACACAGAACGTCAGAAGATGCTAATGGCTTAAGGCGTTTTAAAGATAAGACAACAAACTATTCTTTAATACAAAAAACTATAACAGCTCCCTAGGTTTTAAATATAAGAATAATTTCCCCAACCATTACTAACATAAAGGTAATGGCTTAAGACGTTCATAAATTTCTCTTATAACTAAAACACTAGGTTGTAAAGATAAAATACCAATATAATTAGAATATACTGCAGTTTTGATAGATCTATGGCAAAAACAATCTAGAAATTCCAGTGAATCATCAGGAACAATAAAATGAGGTTTTTCTTTAACATTATACCAGTTAAAATTAGCATGACAAAAAACACGGTTCGTATAACTTTGTTCCCATAGTAAAAAATTAAAAGCTATGAAGTTTGAAATTTAACATTTTGAAAAATATATTTTCAATCAAAAAGTGTTTCATTGTTTCTGCCAACAAAAGGAAAATTAAGCTATATTAGTCACCAGAAAAAAAGTGGTCAATCTATCAGACAGTAGCACACCAGGGTAAGAACTTGATGCGAAAATAATAAAAAACAAAGTCAAAGAGTATGCCATACCATGTGCCATGCAACCAGCTCGACCAATGCTAGAAGATCACTGAGGCTAGATAAAGTCACATTCGTCTGGGGATCTGATTGATTTCCAGAGATACCGTACTTGTTTAAGCAACAGGTCCCATCACTATCCATTTCATGAGGACGATAAACAGGATCTACTGCAGGCTGATGCATGGCTTCCAATATAGCATTCTTAATCTTTTCTAGAAGCAAAGAAGTCGTGCTATCCACAGACACACCTTCCTCCAAGAAGGGGCATTTGATACATGGACAGAATGCAGTTTGAGGATCGTTCACAGGTGGAATAGAAGAAACAGAAGCACCTAATAAACTTAGTTCCTCAAGATTCCTAACTAGAGATTTCGATGTAGTCATCAACAAACTGTAATCACTGAATTTAAGAAACTTGTCACCACCCAAATAAGCAAACATATGAAGAATAGCCAGCTTCAATGAATTTCCAAATTTGCTAGCCCGTAAAATGTTGTATGATGCTTCACAAATAAAACCAATTTGGCCCAGTGTTACACAAATTGATGCCAATATGATGCTCCCTGCTACCAACTGTTCTGCAGAAGCTGGTTCCGAAGAAAATGTTATCTTTGAGCCATCTAAAGGGATGTTAACCCTTGAATCACTCTCAACCCATGATCCAAATGGAACATCATTGGAAAACTTAACACATCCATCCATGAGGAAATTCTCAATTAGACTCAACAGTTCATCCAAATAGCCTACCTCAGCAAAAAAGCTTCTTATCTCCACATCAGACATCACTGGAAAACAACAGTGAGAGTTAGCGAACCAAATGTGCAATGAAAACTAGATCACGCATGAACCAGAGAAAATAATTATGCAATACATGATAATAAAGAAAATAGCAGACCTAACTGTACATGCCCAGCAAAAGAATCCAAGCAGGGGATAGATACCCAATTTATGTAGTTCCCAAATTCACTCAAAGCAGCCACAGGAAAATTTACCATCAACAGCGAGAAGAGAGCGCAAACCTTCTCCCTATTACAAGTCAGCCAAAAACAAGTTACTAAAATTTCAACATTAACGGAGAACAAGCCTCCACCTACAAACTATTCTTGCATCACATAAACAGAGAGAAGAAATGATAGTTAACAGAGACTAAATGACTTTCTTGAAAGGAAAATGAGTGAATGAAATAGAAAAGAGAGCGGGAAGGATAAGAGAGCAAGGTAGAATGAGAATTAAACAACTCTGAAGTCTATAGCCAATATAATAATAATTAATAATAACAACGATAATAATAATCATTGTATAATCATATATGGTTTCTTTCCTACTTACTTGGTTGAAAGTTTTTCTTCCATTTTAAGGGCTAGCAGAATATCACGCATCATCCATCTCGCTTGAGTAGCCAGCGAGCAACACGTCTTACAAGTTCTGATAGCATGATATATCCTAGAAATGCTGCTTCTATCTAAAATATTTGAGAAAACAACACCCTGTTCAAGAATGTTGTTGCCTACAGATCCAAGTTCACCTTCAAATGGACATTGAACCTTCTCATCTCCTGAAATAGTTTCATTAGACCTTCCCACCTCTACACCAGATTCACCAATCAGGCAACCAGAGGCATTTACCACTTTACCAGTATGCAAATCATTCCCTACTGTGTATGAAGAATTAACGTGGTTTTCATTTTTGTGGACTAATGAATTAGTGAAGGTAGCACAGCTATCAGACATTGATTTATTGAAACATATACCCGTTTCAATTACATTAAATCTGCCTGATGGAAACACTTTTTCTTCTTTATTTGACAATCCTCCCCACAAGGTTTCCTTAACTAGCGGAATCGTTTTCTCCACATTAAATCTTTCAGTATCTTCAATCTCAATCTCAGGAAGCAAAGGGGATAGTGGCATCTCCATTGCTAACCTATAATATTCCTCATCAGCAGGATTATCCAAGTTTAGCAGATTCATGAAATCAACATCAGCTAGGTTGTCAAAACCTGCCATAATATCAACGTCACTTGTATTTGAATTTCTTATGCCTTCCCCGATTTCTCCAGAAGTCCATGTGTGATCATTGCCCGTTACAGAGGCTTGTCTGCGGCAATTTGCATTTTCATGGCCTTCAGGTTCAACTTCATCTCTCCTGTTTTGCTCATTACTGTCAGTAGCATGCTGCCTTACTACTTTCTCCTGAAAAGATGACTTCCTCTTCTTTTGAAGCTTATCATGCTTAGAATATGAAGTTCCATGGGAACTAGGAAGTAGGAATTTTCCTCCCCTTAAGGGCTTGTCTATTTGCTTATTGAGCATACCATGCAAATCAGCAAGCTTTTCTTCTATCTGTAGATGCAACTTCTTATCCTCAAAGTATAAGTCCTCAATGGTTTCAACAGTATCAACCATCCTCTTTCTCTTCCTGCTATGCATGGTACCTTTTCCAACATCACCATTGCTAAGAGGACTCCTCACACTGTTTTCAGCCACAACAGCCAGATTTTCACTGGACCTCATTCTGGTAACTTCGTCAGACAAGTCAGTAAGTGTTGGTTGTGCATACTCTTCGGCCAATTTCACCGATGTTGCAACAGAAAAGGCACCCTTATCCTGTGAGCCGACCAATTGTCCATCAGATAAAGATGTCGTACTGGAATTTATTGCAGAACTCTTTAAGATTGTTCTGGGAGAGCCTCCAAGCAGAGACTCCAATTTAGAATCAATACCTGTAATAGGTTCAATACAATTTCCTCCAGGCACAGGACACAAGTGTCCAGTGTGTTGTAAGGTTTCCCTGAAAGTACCAGAGAAATCCAAGGCTTGGCAGCTGGGCTTCAATAGCCCATTAAGACTTTGTAGTTGCATCCGAAAAGGTTCTGAGCTGCATAGTTTTTTCATATCTGCCCTTGGCATATTGCGTCCCATCTGCACCGTGAAATTAAGCATCCAGGTTAACAAACAGGCAAAAATCATACTGCAAAAGTTGACTTCATGTTGTCAAATACGAGAAAGAAAATATGTTGAGCATCTAAGTCTTGTAAACTAGTAATGCAAGTTATAGTGCCCATAGAGTGAACAAGCAAAGATTTTCAAAAAGAACTGGAAAATGGACTGTAAAAAATAAGATGTAATGTGAGAGAAAGAATATGAAGTTGGCTTCAAAAGTACAGTAATCTAAACATGTTAGATAAACAAGATAAGCATGGTGAAGAATAGAAAACCTGAATAAACATATTGAACAAACTCAATCACTGGGTAAAATGTAAAGCTTTAGTACGCTTCTAACATTAATTATCTAAGACTTCCAATGAATTGAAGAGAATTTTTGTGCTGATAAGTTGATAATTTATTGTGCTTATTCAATGGCATATTTGTTGAGTACGGTCTGTTTGGGTTTTCCTTTCAATAGGTATTGTTAATGTTTTTGGCTTCAATACCCCGTGCTCTTTCTTTTCTAAAATAAGCCTCTTTTCTTTTGAGCTATATGTTCAATCAGGAAAAAGAAAAAAAAAAAAAAGAAAAAAAAAACCCTGACTTGAGGAGCAATTTCTACTCTATCACATGCTCCTATACTAAATATAGGTCAGATAAGTAAGCTTAACATTCACTATCACACCTGAGACTAAACCGAACACAAAGAAAAAATCCAAAACTTGGAGATTAATCTCTAAGACACGTTGCTGAACACAATCATGAAAACAAGCGAAACATTCCATTTAAGACTAAAATCACAATGCTTAAAGATTAAGAGTGAGAAAACCAACCTTCCCTAGGCCCTCAGTACCTTCTGTCCTTGGTGAGAAAGATTTATGTAGCATGTCCAGACGACATGAGAACTGATCAAACTCCAGCTTTAAGCGACCTACTTCTTGTTGCAGGATACTGTTTCGACTTCTTTCCAGATCTGCTACTTGTTTAGCATGTTTTTTCTTCATTTTCTCAAGCTTAAGTTGTTTCTTCAAAAATTTTGATTCAGTACTTTCACTTATTGAGCCTGCAGATGCCTTGACCGAATTTCTATTGGACAAAAGCTCTTGTATCTGTTTTTCCAATTCACTAGTCTTCTGCTCGTATTCTTCTAACTGCCTAGATAACTGATCAGCACGAGACTTTTCTTCCAGGGACTTCTTCCGATTCACTTCTGCAACCTCGTTCTGTTTTAGCACTTTTAACATCTCTGCATCCGCTCGTTCTTTCTCCCTAGATGCCTTCTCTTTTTCCAACTGAAACCTTCTGTTTGCTTCCTCAAGTTTCGCTGAAAGCTCCAAGACTAACTTCGATTCACACACTTCTTCAATTCTTGTTTTATTCTCTTCTAATTGCCGAGACAAACTTTGAGCATGAATTCTCCCTTCCACAACCTTTTTCATATTAGCTTCTGCAAGCTTTCTTTGCTCCTCTGCTTTCGCCTTCTCCGAATCTGCCCGTTTTTTCTCCTTGACCACCTTCTGTTTTTCTGCTTCAAGCTTTTTGTTTGCCTCTTCGAGTTTCATCGTCCTGGAAGCTAACTTCGATTTAGTTTCATCAGCTTCCTTCCTCAGTACCTCCATCTGAAGCCTATACTTCCCAGCCCTATCTTTTTCCAAATTGGCAACATTCCTTTCTTTTTCTGCCTTAATTCTTTCATCTTCCACAGCTTTTTGAGCTTCCGCAGCAATTTTCTTCTCCAATTGAACATTTTTCTTTTCAAAGTCTGCCCTTTTTCTTTCTTTTTGAACAACCTCCTCTAAATGGTTCATTTCCTTTTCCAATTCCGAGACACGAGCTTGAAGAACCTTCACGTCACCATTACTCTCTTGAACATTTGTACCTCCTTTGTGCTCAAGAGAAAGGATCTGAGACTTCAATACAGCTACTTCATTCTCAAGAGCTACTCTAGCAGCAGATTCTTTCGCTTTCCCCTCTTTCTCAAAATCCGCCCTCGCCCGCTCTTTCTCACACACTACAAGTATAAACGCATAAAAAAGGAGAAAATTTATGAGCTTCACCTCTATGAATTTCCTCTCTTTTTTTTTTTTTTCTTTTTTGAGCTTTAATTTCAAAAATCTCAGTCTTACAAATATGTTTCTTATGAAATGACAAGTGAAATGGCTGTTCCTTGATTAAAAGATAATTAAAATGAAAAAAATAAAAAAAATCATATGCCTACAATTTTGTCTCCATCTTTCTATTGCCCTGATCATATCAAAAGCCCCATTTCACATAAATAAATTGCAAGACGAATAGAATATAAAAAAAATTAAAAAAAAATTAAAAATTCAAGTCAATTACCTTTCTTACTCTGGGCTTGGATCTTATCAATCTGCAGTTCAAGGAGCTTCACGGCTTGCCGGAGAGCATTCCGTTTCTCCTCTAACTTGGAGTACTTTATCTTCCACTGAAAACCAACCACCCCCACACATCAGATTGAAACGCAACTGAAATAAAAACAAACAAAAAAAAGGTACATCGAGATTTTACCGCTACACAGCAGACTCGGCCTTCACTTGCACATCCGCCGCCATTGCTGCAAGTTCACAAAAGAAAAGAAAAGAGAGGAAAAAACAGAAATTTTAACAAGAAATTCACGTTCTTGAAGCTGTAAGACACTATGAAATGATTGTTCGGAGGAGAAATAGTGAACGGAATTTCCGACACGGTTTCTTGGAAGCCAAACGGAGACTAGGGTTCAACAAAATGAATCAAACGCATATTGTTGACGACGTATTAAAAAAAATAAAACAAAGCCAGAGATTGAAGTACTTGCCGTAACCGAGAGATTAAGAAGTGAAAAGGCTCACATTCTTGTTATTTGCAGAGTCCACGACATAAATATGAAGGACGTTTGAGCCAAGAAGATTGGCTCGTACTTGAATGAAACACCGCCTAATATTTTGAACACGAGAAAGTGGTTTTACTGGCGGACACAGAGTGAATGAGAGAGAGAGAGAGAGAGAAACCCTACGGGATGGCTAATCGACAGGTGATTGGTGTTGGTTCGACCCGACCCGACCCGACCATGTCCAATGAAACTTCAAATAGTATGCATTAGAGCAAAAATGAAAATAACATACTATATCATACTTTTTTATGGTAAATATACAATTGGCATTAGCATTTGGATTGGAAATGGTCGACCATTTCAAATAGCATATGGAAAATAAACTCATCTCCAATACAAATGTTAATGTCAATTGTATATTTACTATAAAAAATGTAACGTAGTATGTTATTCTCATTTTTACTCCAATGCATAATGTTATTTGAAATGCTAAATCTATTTTTTCCTATAATCATTAATCTTTGAAACTTATAAAAGCTTTTATGTTTAAAATAATTAGAAAATGTAAAAGTTACATTTATTACATGAAAAAGTAAACATTTCAAACAATAACAATCAAATGTCAAATTTCTCATGTGTTATATTTAGTGAAAAATTTACCACAGTATAGAATATGAAAAATTTAGCATGACAAATAGCATTGCATTGAAAAATATTTTTTACAATCAAATATTAAATTTACAATTAGCACATTAAATATAATATTATATTAGGGATGCTAGGTATGTGATGCCCATTTTAGATTTTTTTTTTAAGGGAACTTTAAGCAAAGGAGAAGAGAAGACAAACATAAATCATAGCCTTTTAAGTAGGGTTTTGCAATTCAGCAAAAAAATATAAAAATAAAAAGGGGGTTTTGTAAAATGTGACTTTTGTAATACTTTATTCTTACATTTTCAAAATGTAAAATCCATTCATCCTTTAAAAAAAACACATTAACTAAACAACTATTTTTATCAATTAAATTAACAGAAATGACAGATGTCAAAGATAGAATTATGATTGTTGAATACTTTATTGCAAAATTACTCTTCCAATGATAGGTATGGATGTAGATAATAATTTATAAGAGAGGACACCACATTCTAATAATATAGGGCCATACAAATTTAAGCTCAAAATAGACAATATCATACATGTGAAGATGTGGACTCTTACATTACTGATAAGGGTCATCCCCATGGCATGGTGTGAGGTACTATTATTCTATATATTATGATACTAGTTGAAAGTTTTAAATTCGAAAATTTCGTTAAGTTCTCAATTTTGAAGCGAAGTTTGTTTGACTTCCACGTGTTTTTGTTCCTGAAATTGTTTCTTTCCACCGCTTTAAAGATTTTTTGGTTAAGTACTAGCACAAACTTAGCAACAACTCAGTTTTTAGCAATTTCTGGTCGGCTAAGTAATCTTCCTCCTTATCTCATAGTACTCGTTCGATTAAGACTTAAGTTTAGACTTGGTAATCTTAAAATGGTTCTAAGAGATAGTAAGCCTAGTATCCTTACCACTTATTCCACTCGCTAATACATCCCTTTACCTGTAGATGATGCTTTATTTAAGAACGTCAATTTTATGGATTATCTTGCACCGGTGATATTTCGGTAAAGTTTGGTTCATAAATTTAAAACCATAATTCATAATTTTAATTTTTAAAATTTAAATTTTTTGTGAAAATTAAGAACCATAATCCTAAACTAAACAGAATCCTTAAAACAAACGTGACAATGTTCCTATAGGCTGCATTGCGAGATAAACGCTTATCTTGACAATTCATTGTATTCACCTGTCACACGGAAGCTTAATAGGTCATATCCCGTAAGTTCCATGATCCAAACCCTGAATCCCACTTTTATTCTTTTTCGACCTAGTGCTATTTATTTCTGTTAATTGTGATTTGTCACTATTAAGTTTCCGTGAGGAACTTTCGAAGACATAAAATGAAAGGACCAACACAGGAAGCAGCATAAAGAGACAACTACGATAATTTTTCCTCTTAAACAAGCAATAAGTTGTAACTAAGACCATAATTTTCATTTACACATAAATTTGCCTTCTAGAGAAAGGACACCACAAAATTGATACTCCCCATCCATGAAATGACAATCCTGACTTCACCATTTAAAGAAATCTACAATTAACTAGACGACAGAAATGGAATAAAGAATGTTTAGGAAGGAAAATATACTGAAGTAACTCAACACGCACGGCATAACCAATCAAGAGAAGCAATCCTTATCCTCGCCATTAACGGAATTATCTACTTTTCTTAGCTGCTTTAGTTTGAGGAAGTGTCCCAAACACCTTGTCCCACAGGGATGAAGTTATGCCGAAGCCTTTGTTCTGAATGCGAAAGTGATGATTCAAATGGTATTTCTGGCAAATATATCAGACAAGTTAGAAGTTACAAATAATTTGCATGTTTACTTATGAATGGCGAAGGAGAAAGAACAGAATTCAAAGTGAAGAAAGTTTCCGATATTGTAAAATGTTGGCTGCTCTGACCTTAAGATTTCGAAATGTCTCTTTCGATGGATGACCATGGTGAAGGTAGTAATGAGTAACATCATACATCACATAACCCAATAAACCACCACCAAAGAGGGCAGGAGTAGTAGAAGTAGTGGAGAGAAGCTTAATCATGTTCCAGAGCTGCCATGGATTGATGTAAAATTTAGATTTCTCGAGTTATGAATTCCGTACGAGCCCATGGAAACAGAATGACATCAAGATGATTATAACAAAATAAAACTGATCCCAGTAATCAAGTTTCACAACTGACACTATTGCATATGAATTTACTAATAGTAGTAGCTGTAGGAATCAATTACATTCTAGAAACAAATGTAAATCGCAAAACATGAAGAAAAAGGAATAAATACGTACAGGTATCGTTAGAATAGCTGCTGGAACAGGAGGGAACACAAGACGCAAGCTGTCCATTGGGTGCTTGTGATGGCAGCCATGGAGAAGATAATGTATGGTGTTTCCCCTGAAAACAATTTCAACAAAAAAGCACACCAAAAAAGGTTTGATACAGAACAGATAAGTTGATGTGTATTAAAAAAAAAAAAGAACAGAATAGCTAACCAGTAGGTCTTTGTTTTGATGTGAAAAAGGAAACGATGCAATGAGTACTCAAGCAATGTCCAGATGAATACACCAACTGCCACCATCACAGCTATCTCAGAACATGTATGGCCCATTCGTACAGACATGGAGATGGTATAGCAGACAACTGGCAGCCAGACAAGGGGAATAACCCACCAGGCCGTGCGGGTCAAGAACTATTTCATGAAAATACCGAATCAGCACCGAGGCATATTCATTCTCAAAGAAGGCCTATTTAGAGCTACCAAATAATCAAATGCACGTAATCAAAGGCATAAACAGATAGAGCGCTATAAACAGAGAAAAAAATACTACACATATTTCCAAGGATGTGTAATTCTATTGCTAGCACTGACCTTAAAATAATGTCATTATTACGTTCAAACAAAAAGGAAATACCTCCAAAATATCACTTTCAAAAAATCGAGGGCTTTCCTTGGTTGGAATAGGCTGGTGCGCCCATTCCTGATAACCTTCTCCAAGATGGCCAACCTGCGAAAGACCATTTTGAGATTAGAACCAATAGCGGCACCAACTACGATCATCAATCTATGATCTATTTAAGAGAACTTAGTGTCAGTCTAATACAGTTACTAGAATAAATTGGGATCAATAGAGGTTAAAAAAGTAAAGAAATATAAGAAGATGAGATGAAAAAAATAAAAAGAAAATAAAAACCTCAATAGAATTTTCGTAGTTGAAAGAAATTTTTTTTTTTTCAAAATGCACACTACAAAGAAGGCAAACTTCCTTTCAAGCTACAGACAAGAAGGGTATTTTCTTCTGCAAACGGCTGAAAAAGCAATTATATAGAGCAAATAGAATTCAACTCCAAATGAATGGGAGGATAAATTCTCAACAATTAGAAAGAACTACTGTTGTTCGCATTCCTTTTTTTCCTCGATTTTTGCATGGGATCCTAGTGCAGCAGGGCCATGCTAATCATCTCAGGCTAGTTCCAGAGTTATCAGATGTGCCCAAAGGACTCTGTTGTTTTCCATCCAAAACTACGAAAAGCTTTCACTATTAACAATTGGATTCTAAATGGGTTTAAGTGAAAAAACATTTTGAATAAAGCACAATCATTTCAACATGTTTTATTCAAATGAAATATACGAAATAAACGTCAATGTGATATTACCTGAAGAACAAGGGGTTTATTCAAATCAACGACAAACTCCTGCGCAACCATATTGTAGTATATGATGATACTGCTGAGAGGAAAGAATAAAAGACAACCTGGATTAGAGATAAAACTCCAATAGCTCATAGCATTGTTAAGAGAATTCTATGTTAGGATACGAAAAAACACCTACAAATAGGATAAATATTTTAATCATCAGATCTTCATTAAGTTATGTTAATTTATCATACTTTTCTTAATTTGATATGATTTTTATGAGATATAACTAGCGGTTCTTACCAGTAGAGTATTTTTTTCCTACCTTATCACAGAATTCTCCGCAACATTAATAATAAAGAAAAGCTCATAAATCTATTTAAACACATAATATAAATTATCAAACTACTTGCTTATGGTGATGAGACTACTAGAAGTAATGTCAAATCATAGATGTTGCTTGTTAGATAAGATAATCAAAAAAATCTTAAGGGCATTTTTCTCTCCTTCATAACTTGTCTGGTCCCACATGAAAAGCAGTCCAAGTTATAAAAACACTACAATTCATCAAAGAAATAAGCATCATGACATGAGGAAATTGATGTTTTAATCATGACGATCGGCATTAGACTAATTCAACCACAGGGAAAAGAAAATTATAATCAAAAGCAAATAACAAACCTAATGAAAATGAATGTAGAAATATAATATATATATATATGTATGTATATAAAAAAAAAAACATAAGAAGTAAAATTTATGCCCCATTTCTAGAAATACGGGGAAATATAGCATTATTATATCATTTGAGAATGTTAAATTTCGAAAGTGTATTTCGGAGATTAACAAATTAAATAATAGATTCCCATCCTTCGTGGTACGAAATCAAAGAGAGAGAATTTATTTCATAGAGCCGAATATCAATACCCCATTAGATCCTGGCAACAGAACAGAAGATGACATAGCAAACATGGGAAATTCTTTCCTTTTTTTTCTTCAAAATTTCCCAGTAACCAAACAGAGAGCGTCAGCATCACCAAACGACAGTTTCAACTCAAAATCAAACAATGCAGCGACAAAACCTACTTTACAAGAAAATCCCTTGATTTTCCTGAGAACAAAATTAATAACCAACCAAAAAAAAAAGAAACAGATCTAAAAATTGCAAGAGAAGGATTCAAATGAGACAAAAAAGAAGAACATCAAATCACTTACCGGAGACAATGCGGGTCGATCCAAACGACGAAAGACTTTCTCTCTAGAGATTTTCTATACCGAAGCCACCGCCACCAATGGAAAGACGAGGTTTTACCGTTTTAGCGTTTCTAGGCTCCGTAAAGGAGAGCAGTAGATTGACGACTCTCTCTCCTCTCTCTCTCTCTCTCTTCACTGCTTTCCCATTGTATCCGTTTCGGAAAACTACAATAAATAATGTAGAGAAATCTGGGCCGTTGATTTCCCGAATCGGAGCAGAGAATCGGGTAGCAGATGCTCACGTTGGATTCTAAAAGCATGCCAGTCTGGCATTATATCTCGGGACAGCTATAAGAGAACATGGGTTGAAGGAAAAAAAACACACCAGGCCCCACAACTTTCACATTGTTGCAGTTTAGCTCCTTGTACTTCAAAAATTGTTTCAGTTTAGTCCTTAATTACCCTTCTATTAAGCTTAAATCTAAAACTTTGTCAGATAAAAACACATTCAATCTCAATCTTGCTTGTTGAAGGGCATTTTAGGCAGAGCAAAAAAAGATGACAATGAAATTGTTCCGAACCTATTAAATAAGTTGATTTATTTTTACTATCAAGTAGGGTGGTCTAACGATAATGAATTATCATGGTTGGTGTGTGATTTACTAACAAAATTAAGTGTTACTGTGGTAACGCCCTCCTTGTCACAATAGAACCTTTGGCGAATATTCCTCTACCTGCATCGCATTCCCTTTGACAATGTCCAATAGAGGTATTGTAAATCTGGTCATTCTCTTCTCTGATTTTTTTTTATAATTTATCTTTAAAAATTAGCAGAGCATACACCTTAATTGAGCATATAATGCGACTACTTTTACTCGAACCACCAATATAGTGGACCATCTTTAATACCAATTGTTACAATCTAATATGTAAAACTTGAAACTTGTAAAAAGAGAGGAATGAAGAGTGTATAAACTCACTAATTATCTTATTCTTAGTTTACGTGGAACTTTTTTCTGGTACCTAAACGAATGCGGACCAAAATTTAAACTATGATAGGTTGAAGCATTAAGAAAATTTAGGAGACGTTTGGTTCATGGATTAGAACCATGTGATTAGAACCATTTTTTATTTATGTGTATTTTTTGTGAGACCTGTCATAGATTAGTTATTGTTTGGTTGGGGGATTCGTTCTCTGATTTGAATTATGATTCGTGATTCGCTACAATATTTTCTCTCACAAAAAATACACGTAAATCGAAAATGATTCTAATCACATGGTTCTAATCCATGAACTAAACGTCGATACAAAGTTAGAGCCTTAGAGGCCGGTAATGTTCAACCCTTTTACTCTATTTATTTTTTATAAAAATTTGAATTTTATTTTAAATTTTCTACTTGAACCCGTGGAAAGAACGCGTAAAAATTTGGAAGGGAAGAAAGGGGAAAGTGGTACACATTTGCATGACTAGTTCTAGTTGAAAGAAAGGGACCCGCTAAGCTTCCAATTTTCAAAGAATCCCAACTAGACAAAGTCAACGCTTTGGCTTAATGCTAATTAAACCAGCACTGCCCTTCTAAAAGAAATGGGATTAAGACGTGAAGGCCATCTAATAATGCATGCTGTCACACAGCATTTCTCCTCGCGTTGTTCTCAATTTCACTATAGGTGAATGTCAAAATTACACAAAACTACTCTATTTTTGTCAATATCGCAATAGCACCCGATTTACCGAATTGAAAAAAAGAAAAAAAAAAAAAAACAATTCCTTCTACTAATTTGGTCTGATTACTTTACTAATAATTATTTTTATTTTTTTTTTAAAAAAATATTTGGGTGTTTTTACAGTACATCATTGTACTTTTGATATAACTATTCAGCAATTTTTCTAAACCGTCATTAACGGCCTATATTTATAAAGAGACACTGATGTAACACTAAACTTGTGTCAATTATAAACCGGTTACGTATTGGCCAGTATCATGTAGTTGAAGGGCAATAATACATAGTTTTTAACCCAGTAGCACATATCTAGCTATCTCTCTCTCCTACCTCTATAAAATCTGAAGTTTTAAAATATCATAATTTTTTCGCTTCAATTTCAATTGAAACGATTCTTTTTTCTATTCTTTCAGAGCAAAAAAAAGGAACAAATACACGTTTATATAGCCCATAAAAATTTGCTGTGAAGACAAATATTTTGTAAGATTTGTTATAGTCTGTTTAGTTCATAACTTTGAACAAGAAGTTTGAATAGATATCCAAATATTTGCAAAATAAAATATTGTAGCAAAAAGATTTGTATTGTATCTCAAACTTATGAACTAAACGGTAGTTTTCATGTTTGTTTGGATAATTTGGACAAATTTGTCTAGCCCGAATGAAGCTCACAACCCGGATGAGTGTTTGGTAATGCACAATATGCTGGTGGAATGATTATACTAGCAGCCTCGTTCATTTCGTTAATTCGAGTTTAGAATTCAAGTTGAGATGTGATTTTATATGAGAGCTTTTTACTGTAACAAAAAAGTTAGATGTGACTGTTTGTGAGAACTTTTTACTGTAGTAAAACTCGAATTCTAAACTCGAATCAACGAAACGAACGAGACCGCGCATATTCTTCAATTATGTGCATCTTATTGCCTATTCTTGAACATCACAAGTGGTGTGTGGTCTTAATAATGATTGTTAGAGTAAACAACTAGTTAAAATGACGTGATTTAAACTAACTATGATCTAAAATGTCGGGTAGCCAAGCTTTTAAATGTGAACATCAGGGGTCAAAATTAGACAAGTGCATATTATCAGGGTCAACAGTGAAAAAATTAGACACCAAAGTTTAATTATATATATATATATATATAAAACAAAGTTCTAAAAGATCAATAATGATAATCAGGACCACTAACAGATTATGGAGAAAACAGAGGACATGAGTCATGACACCTTTTAATTTTAGTTTATTTTTTTAATACAAGAAATCAGACAGATGTTTGTAATTTGTATGTCACGTGAAATATCTTGGGGTTCCCCCTAGTTTTTTTGATTTGTTAAGCTTAAATGAAAACAAAAATGGTTAAATATTGATGTGCCACATGGGTTTAGGTGCATGAGTGAGGCGTTTTCTTTGTTTATTCTTTTTTTTTTACGGTGATTTCTTTGTTTATTTAAATAAAAATGATATTTATCTTAATCAAGATAAAACTCCACACTCATAAAGCGGTGATTCTCATTAAATTAAGTCTTACATATTTATTTAACAGCACTTATAGCACGTGAGTATTGAAATTTTAAACCCATAAAGATGAATAGAAATGCTCTTATTCAAACCTAACAAAATTGATGTTTTTTTTTTCGTTCGTTTAATGATTTAGACTCTGCTTTATATTGTAATTTATAGAGTTTTACCATAATTTGATTAGATTTTAGAAAGATCTTCTTCAGTTTTTACAAATTTAGTGATTTTCCTTCTTCTTTTTTTTCTTGTTCGTACTTGACAATTGTTTTTCTTTGCTCAATAATTTATAATTAATCGATGTTGTGGACTTGAGTGTCCACTATCATAGAATTATGGTTTCATTATTATTACTACTAGTCAAAATACGTGCTCCGCGCACGTGACATTGTTTGAAAAAATGGTTATATAAATTGTTGAAGAAAAAGAGAAAGAAAAAAGAAAAGAAAGAAGAAATAAAGAGAAAAACAAAAATAAAAGACAGAAAAAAAAATGAAAGAAGTAAAAAACAAAATTTAAAATAAAAAAACACGGTACGCAAGGCACCCAACCGAGAATTCCATTGGGCTTAGTAGATGGTACTATATAAATAGATAGAAAGATTATCTTTGAGTGTTATATTTGCATTCCTAAAATTTATAGATACCCTAATAATTAAGGATCTGTTAGTTTATTGATTTGAATTTTTAATTCGAGTTGAGATATAATTTTTTATTAGAGTTTTTTACTGTAGTAAAAAAGTTAGATATGACTGTTTCTGAGAACTTTTTACTATAACAAAACTCAAATTGATAAAATAAACGGAACATAATACTCCTCTAATAAAGATTTGAAAAATCTATCCTTTTATAAATATTAGAAACATAATACTTAACTTAAGCCTCTCGTGCCCCACTTTTAATTTCATTTTTAATTATTGCAATTCATCGATCATTTTGTAGGTGAATTTTAGGGTACGATACAAAAATCCATATGAAAAACGTTTTTAAATCTTCCAGCAGAAAAAAAAAACGTTTTTGAATCACACTAATTTTTCTACTACTCTCTGATGGTGCATTCTTCGTAAGGCGTTACATATTGCATTTCTTTCCTTGCATTTTTTGTTTTGTTTTGTTTTGTTTCTGCGGTGGGAAGAAGGAAAAGAACTGCTTTTACTTCTAAACATTTTGTTAGAAGTACTTTGGGTAGGTATGCGGAAACATTTTGATTGATGACAGTTTAGACAAAGACGAATATTTGTTGTCTTGAAACATACTTAATTTAGACAATTTATTGTTTTCAAAAATACTTTTTAATTATAATTAATGTGGGTGTATGTTTGTTTATTTGTTTGAATAGAATACTACTTCTATTTATGATTAATGTGAGGATATATTAGTAGGTTTTAAATATAATTTTAACGTAAGATAAAATTATAATAAATATAAATTATGATTAGTAGGGGTATTAATGAATTTAGTAGTTGTAAATATAAGTACTCATTATCTTTTTATTGGAAAAAAAAAAGAAGAGAAAAGTACATGAGAAAAACTATAGCTGCCGGACTTGGAATTGGATTGTTCTCGCCGTCTCAAGTACAGCAAAAAGATTCTCCAAGTTGGTCTTTAAAAAAAAGATATCATTTATAAGTCTTTCTGTAATACTTGTTCTTCACAAGTTCTTTTGAATTATTTTTAGTATTTTTTTTTACTTTTATATTTAATGTAAAATTAGTTCTCCACAAGTCAGAACATGATAAAATTATTGCACGAGGTTGATAATTGATGATTATTTGCAGTTTCCTGTTCAAAATAATTGCACAAGGTTGAAAGATAACAATTATTTGTTGAGAAAGACTACTTTTTCTCATCAACGATGCAAGTTTTTTTTTTTTTTTTTCTTTTTCACTGGATCTGTATAAACATTGGAAAGTAAACAAGCTCAGCTTATACACACTAGAACTATTGAATCCAACTGTTGGAAATCCAAAAAAGGCAAAAGAAAGATTTTGATGACTTTGCTTTGCCGCGACCGCACTTGGGTCACCCGTGACACATCGCGATTCCTTTGTGATAAAAGTCGTAATTGTGGTCGCGCTTCGGATGCGACGTTTTTCATGGCCCGTGGGTCACAATTTTCAGTTTGGGTGGCATTAGGTTGCCACCCACGTTGAGGCTGCTCTGCCTCTGTGTTACGATCCGTCCCCTTTCGGGCATTGATATGGACACAGCGCTGTTGGAGTTTGTTCTTCAATTTTTTTAGTATTTTTTTATTCATTATTATTGTTATTAGAAGATAAGGAAACGTTTGTTATTTCTATGGGAACACAATTTTGAACCACTGATCTTTCATCCAATAGGTTAGATAATATTTCGAAAAAAGGCCTCCACATGGTAGACGCTCCCTTATTTATTAATACAAATATATAGTAATAGGTCTCGTTCATTTCACTAATTCGAGTTTTCAATTTTAAATTTTTACAGTAAAAAGCTCTAAAAAAATATCACATCTAACTTTTTCTGCTACAGTGAAAAGCTCTAAAAAAATATCATATCTCAATTCGAATTAAAAACTAGAATCCGCAAAGTGAACGAGATCATAGTTAACAAATGAATTTTGTTGTCGCTTTGTCTAGGTATTATATCCAATCCGTTTATGCTTGGTGTCGATAGGTTACCAAGCTCATTATCTCGATGACCAAGCAGGTCAGTACAGGCTTTATTTACTCAAATCATGCTTACCTCAGTCAAAACAGAAAACATGCTAAAAGAGCGTTGTATCTTCGAGCCGACTAACAAATAAGGGAGAAATGCAAGTGTTATTCTCTGCATTTATTGTGTGATACGTGAACTTCACTATATCATTTTTTGTTTAATTAATAATATATTATATTAGTAGAGTTTACGCGTCAAACAGTGAATAAAGTGAGTAACAAAAAAAATGATGCTAGCATTTCTTAATAAATAATCAAAATACATGGTTTAAATCTTGATAGTCGCCGAGTTATGTTCTAGAATCAAATTCAAACTGAAGATAAGGAAATACATGAAATATTATAGGGATAGAATAAACATAGGTTAGAGATTATCTCCAACTTATTCAAATGCGTATTCAAATATTCTGTCTATATCTTATAGGGCTATAAATAAGTGAATAACCCCATTACGAAGCCTTAAGTTCAGTTTTTTGTCAGCTATGCCCGAGCTCTCTATGTACTCTGCCCAACACAGTGAAATTCTCTAAATGCTATCGTGGTTGTAACTCTTGCATTAAAAGTGAACTAATAGAAATTTTTGTGTTCATTAATTCTGCATTTTTATTTATTACTCATACGTGAAAGATAATTTGAGGTAATGCAATTGCCGGTGAAATATTTGTTAGACGAATTTTGATCGTTAATAATATTAGAGAGATTGTAATATGTCTTGATTAAGATCACAAGTTGTTTGAGTATTAAAACATGAAAACTCGTGTTAAAGGGACTTCAAAAGTTGTAGCAGAAAAACTGCTTTGATTCGGCCAAACTGGCTGCAGCTGAAATATTTTGGCTACAGCCGAAATGTTTGCATGTCTCGGGTTTGTTTGCGGCTGCAGTGGGAAAACATCCGCTGCAACGGAAATTATGCAGAAAACAATGTTTTCATGAGTTTATGTGATCTAAAATGTTTCGAACCATTACATCCATTGGTGATATATTTTTATACATATCTGAACACCAATTAGCAATATATATATATATAACTATTGTAATAAGTGTATTAATCCATGAAAAAATACATGTACATTGAAAAGGTACCTTTATGTGAATGGTTGTAATGTTTAAAGATGATGCATTCATTCATCAAATGACACCTCTGTCTTTATTAATTCTCCAGAAAATTTACAGACTTTATTTATGTTTTGAAACTCAATATTATTGTTAGATATTGTGTTCAAGGGTTTGTTATATCTTGAGGGTAATTTGCCATTAAAACTCATTAGTAAACTTTAAAAAGTGATGGCAAATAAAACCTTAAAGGAAAGTATTATTATACGCCTCAAACCTTATCTTGTTTATGTTTTCTTTTCACCCTCTACACTCAAATTTCTCCAACAAACAATTCATACAATAAAACAAAATTCAGGACAAGCAAAGACAAAGCTACCTTAGGGTTCCGATGGCAGCTGCCCCTGGCCTTGGGCTCTTTATACTCTTGCCCTTTTCTTGTTTAACAATTTTACTAGTTTGCTCCCCTAAAATCTTATAATTGCAACATTTACGTAAATTTTTTTTTAATTTTTTTTTTCATATTTTAAACTTAAACCCCGAATAAACAAAAAAAAACAATTATTCTACTAAACATATAATATTTGGGACTCAGAAGGAAAGAAAAAAAAGTTTTTTTTTTTCACATAGTTTGGTAGAATAAGAAGAAAAGTGAAAAAAAAGTGTAATCTAATTTATTTTACAATAATACAATTGTACAAATAAGATCACAATAGGTGCGATTAAGGTAAAATGATTATTTGTCGTACTATTTATTGTCTTTTTTTTTTTCATTTGTTCTTTTTAAAATTGAAAAGATTAAAAAATGGGAACGTGAATTAAAGGCCGTGTTTAGAATTGATCCCTTTTTATTTTTCACGTTTTTTGAGAAAAAAAAATAAAAACATTTTTAAAACGGCATTTGGCGCAATAGAGACAAAAAACGGAAATAAAAACAATTTTTTGGTTTAGTGTAAAATGAGAGAGAAATGAAAAATGACTTTTAGTCATTTTTCATTTTTTGTTTTCGTTTTCTCCTCTCTTGAGCAGAGAGAGAGAGAGAAAGAGAGACATTAATTGGTTTTTTTACACTGAAAACAATCTCTTGATAAAACTACCAAATGTATTTTCAAAAATAATTTATATCTGAGATTAAAAACGTTTTCATTTTTATTTTCATTTTCATACAAAAAATAAAATTATCTTAGAATAAGTTCCAAACGCGCTCGAAATTTCTTCCATTTCCAATTTTATCTCTAACAAACAGCCTAAGTTTTTCTTTTTTCCTCAAATATTACTTCTCCAATTTCTTTCCTCTCCCTTCCACTACCATACCAAACGTAGGCCACTCACAATCATCACTAAAAGCACGCTGAAAAAGAAAAAAAAAAAAAAAAAACTATCCGGGCAATCTTCAGTTTCAAAGAGGAAGAAATTATTGTGGAAAAGAAATCCATGACTCCCACATTCTACAGATTGGAAGATGATGCAAAGGAAGGGCAAGAAGCAATTATTACAAACATATGATATTACAAGGCTTACTACAAAATATAGCACGAAAACCATGTATGCCAGATTGTCCCAATACCCTTCCAAATTGATGGATAATTTTGTGTAGGCCATTGTTATCATCTAGTTCTCCCAGCAGCTACTGTCGAAGGAAATGTTCCAAACACCCTGTCCCAAAAGGAGGAAGTGATCCCGAATCCCAAGGTTTGAACCCGAAAATGATGGCTCAAGTGATATGTCTATTAGAAGTGAAACACAAGAATTGGTAAAAGGCGCAAAATACGCATGATCAAATAGATACAATGTATGTTAAAAGTATAAAATTATTATTGGCCCACCTCCTAATAACTTAAGTTTTTTAGATTGATTGGTAAACTAACATGGCATCAGAGCAGGAGATCCTTGATTCAAACTCTCGTAATTACACTCTTTATCCCTATTTAAAAATTATCATCATGTGTTAGGTCTTTAATATATCTCGGGCATAAATATTCACATGTTGGGCTTTAATTAATTTACCTACACGATTATCTATTGTCCAACCCACACATGAGGGGGAGTGTTAAAATATAAAATTATTGTTGGCCCACCTCCTAATAACTTAAACTTTTATAATTGATTGATAAACTAACAGTGTATGCTAAAAGTTAAAAGCACTAACTCGAACTATATGAAAGAGCAACAAAAATAATAATAATAAACGATAAGAAGAACAAAAATAAACGGAGCACACACATTGCGTGCTAACTCCGTCAAGGCGAGGCTCGACATAACTCGAAAAATGGAGGGAAGATAGAGGGGGGAGAGAGTTTTGATTTATCATTACCTTTAAACTTTTAGTCAACCCTTTTGAAGGCTTCCCATGATGAAGGTAGAAGTGAGTGACATCATATATGACATATCCTAGCAAGCATCCTCCAAATATCGCAGGAGCGGTGGATGGTGTCGATGAAAGCCTAATGAGGGTCCAAATCTGGCAGGCATATAATAGATCATGATAAATCAGAAGCAGAAGATGAAATTTTATAAGCATGAGACAAGATGCATAGATATTTCTCTTAATACTCTTAGATCTATAAAAAAAACATGAACAAAAGTTAGCAAAAGTGTTGAACAGTCAAAGTCACATACTTGAATAGCATGTGAATTTTTAGTTCATTTACTCTAGTATTGTGAATATGTGAATCTATTAACCAATTGATTAGCCATTCTCTTCAACCATACCATTTACAGAAATCAAAGGATATTGGGCCTAACTCAACCTAACAAAATCGGCTTATTAGAGGAGGATTGCCCTCACCTTATTAAGTGGATTATGCCAATATCTCCAGCCAATGTGAAATTCTAACACGCCCCCTCACGCACAACATGGACCATGCCAAACCGCTGCGAATAAGTCGATATTGGGGGACCCAATATTGTAAAACTGGGTATGCTCTAATACCATTTTACAGAAATCAAAGGATATTGGGCCTAACTCAACCTAACAAAACTGGCTTATTAGAGGAGGATTGCCCTCACCTTATTAAGTGAATCATGTCAATATCTCCAGCCAATGTGGGATTCTAATAATATTCAAGGTAACTCATGATCGTTTTATGGAGGGCAAACTATATGTGTGTGTGTACGTGTATACATACATACATGCATATGCATTTATATAGGCTATTCCCTAATAGAGCGAAGTTCAATTGAGTGAGACCTTAAATCTGTGTCATGAGGGCATACTAATTGAATGAAACTTTTAGGGATACTGATTTTCTTTTTATAGTACTAAAAAAAAGGTATTTCAAGGATAATATTGATTTTTGATTATTTTCTTTCATATCCGTACTGCGTCATATTATTCTAATAATTACAATAACTACTAGCAGTACATTCTATGGGCCCGTGTAATTCGCTGATTCGAATATTTAATTTGAGTTGAAATGTGATTTTATATGAGAGCTTTTTACTTTAATAAAAAAGTTAGATGTGACTGTTTTTTAGAGTTTTTTACTGTAGTAAAATTCGAATTCTAAACTCGAATCGGTGAAATGAACATGGCTAATTTACTTGCGGTAATTACAACGTGGCAGTGATACCAGAGAAAATTTTCAAAACCAGTACTATTTACATCTACACATATGCTCCTTAAGGAGAGTGGTAGTTGGACAGTGGAATGAACGTACCGGCACAGATAGAATAGCAGCTGCCGCAGGAGGGAAAACAAGTCGCAATCCGTCCATCGGGTGCTTGTGATGGCAGCCATGAAGAAGATAATGCACAGTGTTTCCCCTGAAAAGTTTCTCAAATGGATTAGGATTCTATTGAACAAGGGGAGACAAAGAGAGGTAACAAATAAGATCAATGTTATCCGTGTGAAAAAGAGAAATGGATGACTATTACCAATAACTTGTTGTCTTCATGTGGAAAAGAAAGCGGTGCAAACAGTACTCAAGCAATGTCCAAATGAAAATGCCACCAACTACTGCTAGAGCTGCCTGAGAAGAAGAAAGGCCCATTTGCAGAGACTTGGTCACAAACCAGCACATAACCGGCAGCCAAACAAGCGGAACCACCCACCATACCGTGCGGGTCAAGAGCTGTTTCGAGTAAAAGATGACAACATAAACACATTTGGAAACTTACCAACCATAAGATCTTAAGTTGCGTTTGGTACGAGGGTTTTAGAACCGGAACTATAATTCTAATTCAAATCTTTGTTTGTTTGCAAAAAATAAAAAATGGTTCATGAAAATCAGTGCTTAGCTTGAATAGTTCTGATTCAATGTCTAAATCATGATGTGATGTTTTAAATCAGAATCATCTTAAAAAATAAAACCACCTCCCCCATGAATTTGGATGGTTCAAACATCTGATTCTGATTCCGGTTCCAGAACTATAGTTTGGACCCCAAGTTCAAACCATAAGTCATGGTTATAATTCTATAACTAAAACCATCCAGATTTAAATTCTCATACCAAACGCAAACCTTTAGTTTCTGAATTTGATTTCCATATATACGCACTCATAATAGAAATAGAAACTGGTTATTTAGATTTGCATATGAACTTGCAAAATTTCTCAATGAAGAAGCTTATTCAATAAATTCCTAGATATACATACAATGGCCACCAATATTTGATAAATATTGACAATGAACTTGGAATAACACCTCACACAAATCATTCGCGAAAAGCCTGGGGCCTTCCTTGCTCACAATAGGCTGGTGAGCCCATTCACTGTAAGCTTCTCCAAGATGGCCAACCTAAGAAAATTCCAGTTGTAAGAAAGATACAATAACCAAAAGAATAAAATACAATTTCACTTTAATCAGAAGAGGAAACTCCATTTCTAGCTTTCTGACACTAGCTATAAGTAACTGGGGAAAATCATGACATGTTGACATGGTGCAAAATGCTCAAAATCAAAGTGAAAAGCAAGAATATGATCGACGAAAAAAATAAAATAGACGCGTTTTTACCTCCACCTCTGAAGTATGATCTAGCTAGTTGTTATTGTACAGTCTTTGTGTGTACGCACATGAATTTAAACACGTCCAAAATATGCATGTAAAATGATTGTTTGTTGATTGGGCACTTGTGTGCATTTGCAAGTAATTTTTCTGAAAGTTTTTAAGGAATAATGTTGACAAATATCTCTTATGTGCTTTATTGAAATGCTGCATTTCCATCCCATGTTTTAAGAATGCTGCACCTATTTCTGTGTTTTGTAAACCATGTTAGTGGGATGCAATTGTATGGAGAGAGAGAGAGAGAGAGAGAGAGAGAGAGAGAGAGAGAGAGAGAGAGAGAGAGAGAGAGAGAGAGAGAGAGAGAGATGAAATTTTGATGAAGCTTATGATAGTCCATTAATCACATAATAAAATATGGATAAGAAAATTGCTATTTTGACAGCTCTCACTAAACTATTTCTCAACAATGACAAAGAGAGGTTCAACCATCAAGCCACCTCTCCTAGATGGCTTAAACTATGCCTTCTGGAATGCTAGGCTGCGAGCATTCTTAAGTTTCATTGATGAGCGCACTAAGCATAAGAGAGAGAGAGAGAGAGAGAGAGAGAGAGAAGAGCGAAATGCATTTAGTGTAATTAAGCAATGAACATATATAGAAAATTAGAAATGGATTAAAAGAAAAATAAAAAAAACAAGTAAACAGAAATGAGATCTGACCTGGAAGACAAGAGGCTTATTCAAATCCACAGTAAAAGGTTTATTGACCATCTTGGAAGCCCTCTTATAGAACTGGAGGGCATACTATTAGTAACCCATCAGAAAGTGCGGAAAAATAAGTAGGAGACCAAAATTTTCAAGTTTAATTCTTTTAAAAAAAAAAAAAGAATAAAGCTTAAAGAAATGAGATGATTTCGTCAAATTTTCTTACTTAATCACAAAAGAGAGAGTGTCATAAGGTCCGTATTTGCTAAACCAAGTACTTGTATTTCAACCACGTTTCCTAAGAGCACATGTTTCCTCGCATTTCCTTTGATTATCTTTCTAGAATGAAATCTGGGTAAGCAATTAATGGTGATTGTATATATACGTATCTTACATATATGGAGGACAAAAAAAAAAAAAAAAAAAAAAAAAAAAAAAAAAAAAAAAAAGAACATTTTCTCCAAGCTTATAAAAAATGAAATTGACTACTCTAACCAATGATCTTTTTTGTTTTATAATAGTAACATAGGTATCATTCATTTTACTGATTTAAATTTTTAATTTTAGATTTTTACAGTTAAAATGTCTCAAAAAATGTCACATCTAATATTTTTTTACTGCAGTTAAAAATTCTAAGAAAATGTCACATCTCAGCTTAAATTGAAAACTCGAATTCGCGAAGCGAACAACGCCTAGTTCCCGGAAAAACCGTCGTCTTATAAATTTAGTGACCGTCGTGCTAGGGGGATTGTTGCAAGAGTTACAATTAATCTTTGATGGATTCATTTTATCTTTTATTTCCAAATAAACACGGTTACTAATATAAATAGTTACAGAACATTTTGGAAACACTCAAGTATTGTTCATTAATTAGTAGTTTATTGGAAGTATGAAAAAATATTTAAATGAAGAAGAAACATAAAAAAAAAAAAAGCTCATTTAAATATTTAATAAGCCATTACAATTTCAGAAAACCGTCAACAATTAATAAAGAATTGAATTGAAAATATATCTTAGCAAAACCAAAAAGATTAAACTGACCTTTTCGGGGACAATGCGAATGAAAAATAAGCGCTCTCTTTGGTTGTGGGAAATGGTTTCTTCCCACGAAAATTAAGAAAATTGAGAAAACTTCAATGGAAGGAAAAAAGAAAGAGGGAAATCTCTTCTTCTTTTATCTCCCTTTGAAATGAAATTATGATTACAAGCACAGAAAAAAGCGAAGAAAACGCGGGTAGATATATTTGGAAATCCAGTCAAAATTACAGCTTTGCTTCACGTATTAACCGACGTTGCCAGCCTCCTTTAATCTTTTTAATTCTTCTTTTTTACCTCCAAAGGTAAAATAAAAGGATTAATTTCAGTGGTGCCCTTTTTGAGATTATTCTTACTTTGTTTTATAAATTTTAAAAATTTTTATTTTGTCTCTTGAATTTTAAATTTTCCTCATTTAAGTTTTTTTTGTAATAATTTCTCTTAAAATTAAAGAAAAAAAGAAAGGGTTAAGTATGGCATAAAAATGCATTTTGCTAAAATTATCTATTTCTATTTTTTTAAAAATATATAAGATGATTTGACTTTTTTTTCCCTCAAAAGATAAATAAAGTTTTTTTTTTTTTTTTTTTTTTTTTTTTTTTTTTTTTTTTTTTTCAAGTTCATAATACGGAAGCGTCTACGAAAGTATTGAGTAGTTTCTCTCATTCAATACGTGCCACGAACATGATCTTATTTAAGTTAAAGAGTCTCCACGAACACAATCATGGCTACGTTTTTTATTGTTCATGCTACGTGTGGTTATTAAATAGCAATACTTGAACAACTACAAAAATTCAAAACTTAAAAACTCAATAGAAGAATAGTAGAGAGAGAGAGAGTGAGAAATCTGACAGAAACTTGCTATATGTCTTTCTTTTGTGCCTTTGACTCTTTAGTTATTTATAGTCACACTTAGTACACACAAAATATGAAAAGTATTTCTTTTAATATTTATAGGAGAGTAAGTTATTTAATTACTCAATCTATTAAGCTATTGGAAATATTGTATAATATTTTTTCTTTCATTATTCGTAGGAGAGTAAATTATCTAATTACTCAATCTATTAAGATATTATAAATATTGCATAATATTTTCAAAATGATTCTTTCCTGTCTCATGAATGTTATTCTAAATAAAATCTGAGTGTTAACTTTTGAGGCATGCATGTTATGGACGTCTCAAAATCCAACATAATTAAATAAGTAAAAAAATTCAAAAAGTACTATTTAAGTTTTAGCTAAATATCATTATCTTTTTCTTCTCCTACAACAGATCAGTTAGAGGACTTTTTAGCCATGCCTTCTTGATGATCATTGTACGTACTTTAATATAGGGGTGTTCGGCGGTTTTTAACCGTCAATTTTGGTCGGTTCGGTGGCCGAACTGACTATGTCGGTTTTCTAAAACCGTGCACTGAAACCGAACCGCACAAAGGAGTGGTCGGTTCGGTTAACCGAACTTCAGTTTTCGGTCGGTTTTTAGTTTTGGTAATCAGGAAAGTAGCAATCAGTTAACTATCAGGTTACCAACATCTTTAGTTGCATTTTTGACCAGAAAATGTGGAAAAATATAAAAATTTCCTTCTATGCAAACATGAAATTACAATAAATGAATACAAACACAGCATCCAAATTGATAATACCACAAACACAAAATATCCAAATTCAATTCCAAAATCCAAAGTACAAACTAAAAGTCACACTTACGGGTTGTTATGTTATTATGATTTTTGTTTTGTGAGGTTTTTGGTGATGGATGATTTGATTCATATGCTACAGGGTGAAGATACCCAATGGGTAACTGTGAATTTATAACACACTGAACCTACTTGGTATTTACAATGGAAAATGCCCCAAAAGAGCAGACTTCATACATATGCTGTGACGCGATTTTTGTTTTGTGAGGTTTTTGGTGATGGATGATTTGATTCATATGCTACAGGGTGAAGATACCCAATGGGTAACTGTGAATTTATAACACACTGAACCTACTTGGTATTTACAATGGAAAATGCCCCAAAAGAGCAGACTTCATACATATGCTGTGACGACCCTCCTATGAGGCCGCCACTGTAACTTAAACTTTAACTTGTACTTACTGGGGTTCTTAAAATATGCGGAACATTTTTTTTTTTTTTTTTATATAAGAAGGAATACTTTCATAATTTGTAACAATAATTTCAAATAAGTGAATCACTAAATTTCTTAAAGCTTTTCTTAATTTTAGTTAAGATAAAACCTTTTA